TTTCAGTGTTTAGGTTTCCATGTTTTAATTTCTCCTCTCTATAGTGTTGTTTAGTCTTTAGTGTTTCCTGTGTTATTTTGTAACTTCGTACCCTAGTGTTTCTTTATGTTCTAGTGTGTTTTTGTTACTTTCTTGAGTTCTGTGCGTCTTCAGTGTTTCAGGATTTAGTTTGTAGTTCTCCTCAGTGTTTCTTGTCCTGCCTCTGTGTGTTTCCCTCCATGTTGATTACTCTCATTGTCTTCACCTGTGTCATTAGTCTCACCTGTGTCTGATTACCCTGTGTCTATTTAGTCTCTGTGTTTCTTCCCTTCTGTGTCAGTTCGTTGTTGTTTGTTGGTGTTGTAGGTTGTTCCCCATGTCTTATGCCAGACCTCTATTTACCTGTGTTTCAAGTACTTTTCCTGTGTTTTTTGACTTCTAATTTTTGAAGGAAGTTTTTGTTTTGCCTTTGGCCTTTTTGTTTATTAACTATATTTAGTTAAGTCTGCACGTGGGTCCAGTTCCTTGTTTTTCCCCGGAACGTGACAAGATCATGATAGACTTAATTATCTCAATCCGCTCCAAGCATGCAAACAAATACGCTCAAGAGCGGCAAATCAAAGAGGGAACAAATTTCAAGTTGTAGCATAAGGATGGATAATTGAATTTCAAAACTTTAAAAGTTTGGTGGCTGTTGTGTTGCCAGTTTAGGATGTTTTGCAAAAGACTGACCTAAATGATAACCTACGATAAAATGTATTGTCCCCCGTGGGGAAATTTGTCTTGGACTCAAAGTGCTGTCAAACATTCAGCTGCTTCCACGAGAGTCAGTAATAACAAAAACACTACTATAACTCATCTACATGTAAACAGAAAAGCACATACCAATGCAACGCAGGACAACGTATATTGAACATTACCCATATTGCACAAGATCTGCAAAAACACAGCATGAGAGGTAAGGTTAGGATAGGATAGGATAGTACTTCACTGATCCCCAGAGGGGAAATTCGGGCATTACAGCAGCACAGACAAGAAAGCTCAAATACACATTAAACAGAATAAATAAGATAAATACAAATAAAAATAAAAACAGGGGGTATATACAGTACAAAATGAATGATGAAGTTAACTGGGGGGAATTGAGAATTGAAACAGTATTTGAAGAGAATGACAAGATAAAGTGACAAGTGATGATTAAAGTGACTTGGTATGATAAATAAATAGCAGCAAGTAATGTAAACAGCAGAGAAGAGAGGCAGTGTTGTACCACAGTAATGCAGAGTGCAGTTATATAATATAATGTAGTATAATACAATATAATATAATATAATATAATGTAGTATGATATAATATAATGTAGTATAGTGCAATATGAACAATAAGATAATAAAGGTAAAAGAATGCATGAAATGAAGCGCTTTTTTAAAAAACATGTATATGCATTGACAGTTTTCTTGTTTTGAGGATTAGTAATGAGAATCACAAGGAGAAGAAGATGTGAAATATAAATAAATTCACAGAATAATAATGACAAGAGGCGTATTCATATAACTCACAGAATATGACTTCTCTAGCTTTTTTTGGGGATAATTTCCCTCAGCTTGTTTTGCCCCCCTAGTGGCAGACAGCTACACTGTCCCAGCCAGAAAGTAGACTCAGTATAGGAGAAAATAAATGTCTTCAGAATCCAAGAATATAGAATTGACTAGGAAATCACTCTTTTTTGTAAAGCAGTATATTTTTAAAATACTGTCCTCTCAATGCATTACAAGCCACTTGTCTTGGTTAGATGTGACACTGGAGCTACTCAAAATGAAGAATTCGACCCAGAAGCACACTTCCTATTCCACACAGCTGTGTTTTAACTTGATTCACCCTCTACAAGATTGTACATTTCGACCCAGTGCCAGCCAGCATATCATATAACCTCTTTGCTTTGTAATGACTCCTCTTTACAGTTTTTTTATCTCTTTTGGAGGAAGTCAAGCAGAGTTTAACAAAAGTTTGACAAACCTTAGAGTTAATAAGGATTCATGATAGGGTAGTTGTGACTCTGAACATAGCAGATAAAGCAACTTTTCACACTGGTGCAAGGTCATCATCTTTTGTGATATATTTAGTTCCATTTTTCATAAATGTCGCCATGCAGTACTGGGTTGAGACTCTACTGTTAATAAATATGAGACTTGTTTCAACAAATATAGGTCGACTCATAGCTGCTGGCACTCTCATATCATACGACTATGACCCCAAATGGGGTACAGGTCTACATTTCAGATTGGATGCCATATCTCCAAGTGTGATTTAGAGATTTGTTTCCTTCCTTTAAAAAACATAAAGCCAATATACTGCTGTTATTATAAGTAGATATTTCCTTTTCTGAATGCAGTTTAACATTATCTTTAGTTGCAGGATGATTCCCACAAATTGGGCTAATGGTCCTGCTACTTTCGGTAATTTGTTCTGGGCCTTGATGTAAGACAATGTAATGTAAATAAAGTAAACTGTTATGTTAGGAAATTAATAATTTGGTATATTCTGTGTAACAACACAGGTCCAAAGTTTTCATGTTTTCTGAATTCTAGTGTCAAAAATAAACCAACTTCATCACCATACTCAAAATCTTTATGGAGATGAAATGATGCCGTTGAGGTATTCATAAGCAACAGATCGTTAAGCGTAAAAGTAGAGGAGAGAATTGAGAAAATAAAGTCTATTTTTCGGGGGTACTGACAGACATACAAGAGGAATTCCCTGACAGGATGCGTAGACTCCCTTATATTTGGACGATGACTGCAGCAGCAGGACTGCCATTCATTAAGCCCTGCAGGAAATCCAGGGTACCATGGGCCCTGCTGTTGAAAAGGCTTGATCAGGCTCATTCTTCTCATTTGCACTGACTTAAGAAATAGAAGTAGTTTAAAAAAAAAAAAAACCTTTAGTAGCCTACTTCTGTCAGGCTAAACGATAAAACAGAGAACCCAAAATTCACAACTCCAAACACAGAGTGTCATTTCAAAGTCATTTTAATCAGAAAGATGGTCGGTACACAGAAGTAAAAAAAAAAAAAAAATACTTTTTGAAAGTGTTGATCATAAAAATAAAAGAGATTGTAAACTTTTACTATATGGATCAAATAATCCAGCTCACGTTTATCCTGGTTCTTCAAAGAAACACTGTATTGAATCAACCTGATTAAGATTTTGTCAGAGGACTGTCAAATCTGACTTCCCAATAAATGATTTTATTTTATTTTACTAGGTAGTCTCATTCAGATTTTGGAATCTCTTTTTCAAGAGAGACCTGGGTACATCAGTGGAAAATAAAATGATAAAAACATCAAAATAACAGACATCAAAAACACAAAGTAGATGCATGGCCAATACACACAAAAACATCATACAAACACATGACAAGTCAGGTTTCCAATGCAGGGCTATTAACATAGAAAACTCCAAATTGATTTAAGTTTGTGCTCTTTCAGCATCCCTTTAAATTCCTACAGGGAATTTGTCTACAGGGGTGCTGAAATCCACATTAAAGGATCCTCTGTTACTTGAAATTGAATGTTAATGTTTAATAAGGATGCCTTTTGTGTTTTGGAGATAAAACCCTTCATTATTTGGTTTATTTCTGTATTTTTATTTTTTTTACATGACTGTTTCTTTGTTTTAAATGTGCTTGTCTGTACAAATGTTTTAAATACTGTGTCCCTGTGTGTCCTTTTAACGTCTCTGCACTAGCCGGGACTCTTAATCTTGTTATATCCTGTTATGCAATGACAATAAAGGCTTTCAGTTCAATTCAATTCTCCAACCCTATCTGCCACTTAGTCAGTGGAGCAAAACAGCATTTAACAGCATTCAGAGCAAAATATATTCAGAAAAATGTCTTTACAAAAAACAACTACCTCTTAAAAATTTGTATTGTTTGACCAATTTAATCATTTTCTTGCATTTCGCCCTATATTTCAGTCAGAATCCAGTCGTCTGCTTGGATCAAAGTTTTCTGATCCCACTCAAAGGTTTAAACAACACAAACTGGAGTTTTATCCAGATAGAAGAGGGATTACCTAATCCGATTACGTAACCCTTTTCTATTTCAAAAACCGGTTTTCAAGATTTATCTGATTCCATAACTAAATCTACCAATGTTGGGAGTGCATTTTTAACTTAGACAGGCACACATTAAAGTGCATTTATGAATGGTTTTCCATTCTCACTGTTGATAGCCTGTTGAGGAAAGATCATCAAAGACTTTCTCCGTTTTTACAGTCCATAGTTATTTCTAAAGAATGTTAACATATACTCGTACATCTCTCTCAACCCCTTGTTTTTCTAATCACCAACAATATTGCCTCCTTAATACTGCACAAAAATGACTTTAAGGAGATTTTTGGACATCCAAAATTGTTTATCAATAACCTAAATCATTGCATACAAGTGAGAAAGTGAATGGTGGGAGACTTTATGAAAACATATGATCAGTAGCTACCAACCAACAAGTTGACAAATATTTTGAATTTGGATATATGACACAAGCTTTCAGAATAAAGCATAGACTGTAAATATTACTGGACGAACCCTGACAAGACAAAGGCTACTGACACTTCTGGAGCATTTTGGCATTATTCTTCAGCTCAATTGGGCCCTCTGGTGGTAGAAAGCTGCTATTACAAACCTGCAAATGACCAACATACAAACGTAAAATAAAATGTTAAATAATGTGAATAACTATTTAACAGGGGGAAAAGCCATTTTTAAAAGGTATTTTTCACTCCAGAAATGATCGTGATTGGTTTTAGTGGATGCAACACAAGAAACAATTATCATAAACATATTTTAAATATAGGCCTACTAATATTACTAAAAGAGATCAAACAAGTGGTTTTTATGGTCTGGGGTGTTAGAGGGAAGGGGTTTATCAAGATTAAGAAAAAAAAAAAAACAGGACACAATTTAGAAAAAGTGAAACAGGAATAACACTTTCATTTGTGAAGTCTTCGGTTTTCACTTCCGTCATGCTCCTTTAATGCGAAACCTGGGAAGTGCGAGACTCGTCTTGTGTTCCACCTCCACGCTGAAGCTTTCCCTCCTCCGCTCCTTCCTTATCAGGAAACAAGGTAACATTATTTAACATAAACCTAAAACTAAACCTCTAGTAAGCGGGTCTTATTTTCAATCTCTCAACTTGAAACTGGACGATAAACACTTTAGTTAAGTTGTTATTAGACCGTATGTCACACCGTATGTTTGGGGTGCCCAAACAGTGGATCGCGATCGACAGGTAGATCGCTGACTGATTCTCAGTCGATCGCGAGATGTTTAGTCAATATAAAATACAATCGTAAAATAGAAACGTGATTTCAATTTCATATCATTGCAGTGTTTCCCACACATAGACGATACCTGGGTGGGGAGCCCAAGTATACTTCCTGTACTACCTGTATTTATTGTCTTGTATTTATTTATGTATTGTTATTGTAAATGTATTTATTTTTCATTTATTCATTTATTCCCTTCGGGTTATAAGGGAAAGAACCTCTCTGAATGTCTTCTCTCCACGTTCACATATAAAAGGTTTCCTGAAACATATCACATCGTGTTCGTGTTTATTTAGAGAACTAGCAATTCTCATATTCTTGGAAGAAAGAGAGTGCAGACACCTGTGAGCATCGCGGGGCACGAGGCACACCAACATATACATACACACACACACACACACACACACTGGAGCACCAGCCACCACGCGAACCTTTTTACTTTTTACTTTTAGTACGGACCAAGTCAGGAACACAAACAAACAGTCAAACAGTGTCTGCAGCTAATTTAACAAAAGCAACATCATCTCACAGCAGCCTGCTGTAGTCTGTGAACATCTCCACACAGATTAAAGTTGTTTGTTGTAAACTAAATTAAGGGAAAAACACGTGATATAAATACAAACTTAATACTAAAATGTAGCCTACCCTAAAATAAGAGTTTAAAAAAAGTATGTCGATATTGCATTATTTTTTACAGAACTCTCATTTATTATTTTCTGTTTGTTGTGTGAGTATTAAATGCGTTTGTAGGCTGTTGGGAAAGGCTATGGCTCACTATGTGGACTGGTAGATCTCGGCAGACTGGTAACTTTAAAAGTAGATCTTGGTTCAAAAAAGGTTGGGCACCCCTGACATATGAGATCGTATATGTCCTGTGTGTTACAGGTGACAGTAAGAAGATCCAGAGGAACTCGCCCTTTCACCAAAAGGTATGCTGAACGTTTTTATCGCTCAAAACATGACGGCTCTTTTTATTTTTACACCGAGTTGGAGTTTACATTTTTAACAGCTAGACTGGACATATAGGTCAGTAGGCTACATACAGTATTAACCTATGATTCAATTCTTCCTTGTCATCAATGAGCATTTTTTCATTATCCACGATTGAATTCTTCCCTTGACAAATGACCTCACTTCTGCCATTCATGTGTTTTGAAGGCTGTGAATTTAATGCTGGTTTAAAAGCCCTTTATGCAGTATTTACATGTTATTGAATCATCAACTGGCAATAAGCTATTCAGACCAATTTGTTTTAACCAGGCTGTAACCATTTTTATTTCTGTAAAATGGGCATACTGGACGCATGTAATATCTTCACATGTATTCCAGGGGAGAATAATGGAAACTGTTTCGTTTCCCTAGGGGCCCAAGCTCCATTTTAGTGTTTGAGACTATTTAGTCCTGACTCATATGCCCCAGTAAAAGGCACTGTAGCTGGAGGTCATGCTTAAAGATAATTAAAACCAAAGCAAATGCATTTTCAGACGGTTATGTGTTTCCTTTCAGCGGTTATTTTGTATCCAAGCTATGTCTATAAATGAGTCTAAATTTAGAAAACTGCTGACACGTTGCAAACAAATGTAACATACAAGGAACTAATGACTGGAGCCCTGAGGACAACAAGAATAAACAACCCTGACACATCCATTTTCGCAAAATGTAACTTATTTGTTCTCAAAATATGTTGATGAATGTCCTATTGCATAAACAAAAGATCGGGGTCAGGACATTTTAAGAGTGCTTCTAAAAATAAACAAAGTGTGTGCCAAAGTGATTTGAAATAAATTAGAGAGAAGAAAAAAAAGTACATAAATGCAAACACTTAAACACACTAACACAGGCATGATTAGGTTCATGCATCAGGACATGCAAAATCATGTCAACATTGAAAACAGTGGCGTTAACGTGAATCATTGTTAAGACATCGCTTAAAGCTAAGTGATTCATTTAGACTGAACCTGCTCTACAAGCTGGGCCTGGGTTGTGAGCAGTGATTTTCCCCTGCCCCACAGCACAACTCGTTAGCCTTTAGATGTGATGTTAAGATCAAGTGAGTCTTCACCAAATGTCTGGACCAGGTTGTTGACTGCCTGCTGGTTGTGGGTCAGTTATACTAGTGCATCCACTACTCCACGTTTTGCCTTAAAGGCAAATTGTATGGTATCAAGTTTTCTAGACAGGTGGTCACACACTGCTCTCTCCATACATTTAGACATCACAGGGGTCGGGGTCACTGGTCTCTCTAGTCCTTAGGGTCACTGGCATGTGTCTTTTGGGGGATTTGGATTATGGTGGATTCCTTCCACTGTTTGGGACACACCGAGAATCCAAAACTGTGGGCAGCTGTGGCTCAGGTGGTCGAGTCTCAAACAGAAGGTTGGGGGTTTAATCCCCAGCTCTGCAGCCACATGTCTGATGTGTCCTTGGACAAGAAGACACTCAACCCCATTTTTTTCTACCTGCAGAGTAGTGTGGCTGCAACTTTCTCCTCTAGTTGTAAGCTGTGAATAGAGTCCTGGTTGATATCCAAGAACAGGGAGATGTTATCAGGGAGCTGGAGGATCTTGTATTCCTTAAACATTCATTTATTTGTGACGCCTTCATGACAGGTTTATTGTTGTCTTTTCACGACAAAAAAGGCAACAGGACCGAAAACATAATAATGAGAAGTCCGGTTAATTTGATTTACCAGGTTAGATTTATTAATAAACAATGTTTGTTTTAAATAACCAAAAGTTTTAGGCAAACTCCTCCACACTGTCTAAATTGCCCAAATATGTTCGCAACATTTCATGACAGAAATGTGACTAACGTATTTATAGACAGTGCTCTCTCTGTTGGAGCTTTTTGCATAAAAATTATGATTGAAGATCTTTAGCTTTGGTACTTTTCAACATGAAGATTAATATGAGTGAGAATCTATGATTGACAACCTTAACTCATTCTGTGGGAGACACAGTGATTTACGTGTTGGCTAACAAAGAATAGCCTCGGCCACAGACTGGATCTTTGCCGACCCAGCTCCTCTCCAGTGCTGAAATGCTGAACTTGCGGTTCTGGTCTTTGATTACTAAGTATACAATCTTTTAAAAAGGTGTAGCTGTTTTCTAATTACAGTGCAATTAAGTACAAAAGTGTGTAAATATGGAATGATTGAGGTTTTATAGAGTATAATCTCTGGTTTCTTATGACAGCACAGGTTAGATGTGTCTAATTTAGACGTAAGTGTGTTTGATTGTCAACCACAAAAACACAGTATCTTTACTGTTTTACAGTTTTTGCCAAGAGTTATTCAAGTTTGTGTTTTTAACCTCAGACAAACACAAAGGGACAGTCCCTCGGTGAATTGCCTCACTCGTGATTTTTCCCATTTCCTTCGTTGTTTATGTATTGTGGAAGTTGTTATCCTTCTTTATTGAACTAGCTTGGATCACAAGTCAGCCAAGTGGGTGTGTGAAACAAATGAGACAGTGGAGCAACAAATTAGAGGGAAAACCGGAATGGTGGGTGGCATTTCTACCATACAGGTGTACATTAAAGTACACTGGCCCACATGAAATCTAGAGCAATGTGGTAAGACCGCATGCCCCTACACCTTCATCAAAGTTCAGTCAAACAAAATGTTGTAAATCCAGATCCTCAAATTAGTAACACTCAAAAAGACACAGACATGCCCTGTAATGACACACACAACTGTTTTCATTTATTGCTTTTTCACCAGGACTACATGATGGCTACCAATGGCTTCGCCACTGCCACATTTGTGGATACATGTGAGGATGCCTTCTACTTTGAAGGTAAATGTTATGGCATACTTTTTTTTTGCAATCTGTCTCACATTAAGTTTTGAGAGACTATATTATAGTCCATGGTTTCTTTTGTTATTGATGTATTTTACATTATTGCTTTCTTCTAAACTGAAACCCTCGTAGCTTATTTGGTCCTTTTCAAGTACCTACATGCTCTAGAATGACAATAAACCTCTCTGCATCTGCATCCATATTGCTTAGTGCTCATGATGGATTAATGTTGGGTCAATGAGTAAGGTCTTTTACCTGCTTTTTGTAGCATGACAATGAGTAAGGTCTTTTACCTGCTCTTTTCAATCTATCTTGAGATAACTTTTGTTATGATCTGGCGCTATAGAAATAAAGATTGATTCATGAATTGATTCCTAATTGTATCAAATACTCACCACTGTTTTTTACATGTTTGTATACTAATACTGAAATATTGTCTCTTATTCTCCAATGCTGTCTTTCAAAGTGGGAGAAACAGGTAAGACAATACTTGATATTGTTTTGAAGAATAGAAATTTACAGCCCAAGGCATTCAAATTGTTGAATATGTTTGGCTTAAGTTTCACCTCTTCCTCTATATCCTTATCTTTAGCATGGCATAAATGAGGTGTTTCATGTGGGTCATGGTGTCAGTTCTATATTATGTTTTTCCCCACCTCTTAGATAAATGTTTGGATTCGGACGCCTTTGGAAAAACTGATAATTGCTGTCAATGTTGGATCCAAAGCAACAACAACAAATTCCTGATGTTGAGTGATGACGGGCAATTTCAAGCTCAAAACTTGAATATACGGCAGCAGCAGAGAGAGTCTGGTGAGACAAATCCAGCCAGATCCAGTGAAACAGTGTTCTGTTATAAAAGGGGAATTCCAGTTAGATTAATTGTGTTGGGTCTACAAAGCCCAATTCCAGTGAAGTTGGGATGTTGTGTAAAAGGTAAAGAAAAAAACAGAATACAATGATTTGCAAATCCTTTTCAACCTATCTTCAATTGAATACACTACAACGGCAATATATTTAATGTTCAAACTGATAAACTTTTTTCACATATATTCACTCATTTTGAATTTGATGCCTGCAACATGTTCCAAAAAAGCAGGGACAGGGGCATGTTTACCACTGTTATACATCACCTTTCCTTTTAACAACACTTAATAGGCGTTTGGGGACTGAGGAGAAGCTCTGTAGTTGAAGCTCTGTAGGTGGAATTTTTTCCCATTCTTGCTTGATGTACGACTTCAGTTGCTCAACAGTCCAGGGTCTCCGTTGTCGTATTTTGCGCTTCATAATGCGCCACACATTTTGAATGGGAGACAGGTCTGGACTGCAGGCAGGCCGGTCTGGTACCCACACTCTTTCACTATGAAGCCACGCTGTTGTAACACGTGCAGAACGTGGCTTGGCATTGTCTAGCTGAAATAAGCAGGGCTGTCCCTGAAAAACATGTTGCTTAGATGGCAGCATATGTTGCTCTAAAACCTATATGTACCTTTCAGCATTAATGGTGCCTTCACAGATGTGCAATGTAGTAACACACCCCCATACCATCACAGATGCTGGCTTTTGAACTTTGCCCTGATTACAATCTGTATGTTCATCTTCCTCTTTGACACAGAGGACATAACGTCCATGATTTCCAAAAACAATTTGAAAAGTGGACTCGTCAGACCACAGCACACTTTTCCACTTTATATCAGTCCATCTCAGATGAGCTCGGGCCCAGAGAAGCCAGCTGCGTTTCAGGGTGTTGTTGATACATGGCTTTCGCTTTGCATGGTAGAGTTTTAACTTGCACGTGTAGATGCAGCTACCAACTGTGTTAACTGACAATGGTTTCCCGTAGTGTTCCTGAGCCCACGTGGTAATATCCTTTTACAGAATGATGTCGGTTTTTAATGCAGTGCTGCCTGAGGGATCGAAGGTCACGGGCATTCAATGTTGATTTTCGGCCTTGCCGCTTACATGCAGAGATTTCTCCAGATTCTCTGAATCTTTTGATGAAACCATGAACTGTAGATGATGAAATCCCTACATTCCTTGCAATTGTACATTGTTCTTAAACTGTTGGACTATTTGCTCATGCAGTTGTTCACAAAGTGTTGAACCTCGCCCCATCCTTGCTTGTGAACGACTGAGCCTTTTGGGGATGTTCCTTTTACACCCAATCATGACACTTACCTGTTTCCAATTAACCTGTTCACCTGTGGGATGTTCCAAACAGGTGTTTTTTGAGCTCCCAGTCTTTTGTTGTCCCTCTACCAGCTTTTTTGGAATGTGTTGCAGGCATCAAATTCAAAATGAGTGAATATTTGCAAAAACACAATAAAGTTTATCAGTTTGATCATTAAATATCTTGTCTTTGTAGTGTATTCAATAGAAGATAGGTTGAAAAGGATTTGCAAATCATTGTATTTTGTTTTTATTTACGTTTTACACAACATCCCAACATCACTGGAATTGGGGTTTGTCAATAATGAAAATGAAAACGTTGTGTATTAACTTGATTAGAGTGCTGCAGGACAGGCTGAGATTGGGAAAATGAGCCGGAGCAGAGTATGTCCGACATATGTTCTTGTTTTCACCATAAACAGGCTCAGAGAGTTAGGGTGCGTTCCATTTACCTTGGATCTTAGAGCTGGGAATGACGTCACACCCGAGTTAAACGCGTTCTGTTTGCAATTCGGACAAGCAACAAGGTCGACTCCAGGAGTACTTTTGTTTTGACAGCTTATACCTGTTGATAACTAAATACTACTTGATAGTTTGTGCACAAAAATAACATGACGACATGTCTACAGATAAAAACTGCACAATACTTTCAGTGTGATTGATTTATAATTACACAAAGAAGACTAAGATGCTAATAAACACAAAAGTTACAGCTTAAACGTTACTGTTGATGCACGTAGCAGCCATGTTGGATTTTAACTTGGACTACTTAAGTTGCTCTGAGTATCCGAGTCGGAATTCCAACCTCGGGGGGGCGTTCCTGATGACGTATCAGACCAGCAACTCTTTTTTTCTGACTTCCAAGATCAAATGGAACACACCATTATTTGAAATGTCTGAACACCTCCCTCCCTACAGATATTTTTACCAAACCCTCAAAATTACATTTTATAAAAATAAATTTGCAGAATGGGAAAAAATGATATCAGGATTTATATTGCAGGGAAATAGAGCCTGAGTGCGATATAAAACATAACATTTATTACATTGTCCTATTAAATTGCACCCAATTCAGACAGTGGACTGTCTTTGGTCCTCAGAAATAAACCTGCAAGGTGTGAAGTCAATAGGATGAGGGGTTAGCAAGAACATTAGAGGACAGGCTAAAATGAAATAGATATAAATCAAGTGGATTTGATTCTGCGACAAGCTGCTTTGTCCCCTCTTCCTTACCAAGTGTTTCTTTTAGGCTGCAAATTTCACTTCCAGTTTTACAACAAAAACCCGAGCGAGAAGCCAGGGAAGGCCGTCATTCTGTACTCCAACAAAGACGGCAAAAATATGGTGGTGTCCTGCAGTAATATGCATCAAGTGTGTCCGGTGGAAATGGTGAGTAAAAACAACTACTTTCACTAATCACTGAAAATGTGTGACGTTCCACCTCGAGTGGATCTGTTTTCCCTGAACAGAGACATCTTCATTCCATCTGTACACATGCTAGAAGAAACAGACAGATGTATTTGGGGCAGCTGTGGCTCAGTGGTAGAGTCGGTCGTCCTGCAGTCACATGTCATAGTGTGCTTGGGCAAGAGACTGAACCCCAAATTGCTCCCACTGCTGTGTCAGAAAACAGATGTATGAGTATGAATTGGATTAATTAATACTGATGGACAATTTATATAGCAGCCTCTGCCATCAGTGTGTCAATAGGACCTGCACCATATGAGAAGGATATGCGATGTGCAATGGTATTGTAATAGTGATAAGAATTGCAGTAAATCAAGAAAATGAAGAGTGCATGTTGGCTTTGACTCTGTTTTCTATGTATATCTGCAATCTTACAGAACAGCTGTGCTTGCAGCATATCCCTTCTAAAATGAACACTTACAAATGTTTTTTTCTCCATTAATTTGGTGCTAATTAATCAGAGAGAAGCTGATAGTGAGCTTTACCTTCATCCTGTGTTTCTTGCAAATGCTCATATAGAATATGCTCATATAGAATATGCTCAAATAGAATATGCTCATATATCATTGCGATTGATTTCCCAGCCCTAGCGTCAATGTGGTGTGTGTGACCTGGAGTGTAAAAAGCGCCAGAAAAGCTCAAGTCCATTAATCTTTAAAGGTCACATATTATGCAAAATACACTTTACCATGTTTTTCAAACACTAATGTGTTTGTAGTTTGTCTACAGATCCCCCATTCAAAGGTCCATCCTCTCTGTCTTTTGTCTGCTCCACTTTTCAGAAAAATGTGTGCTCAAACAGGTATTTTGGAGATTTTCCCTTCATGACATCACAAAGGGCAGTAACTCCTCCCCCAAGTGGTGACACTCCCACGGCTAGGTGTTTGTTCTGCCCACTGAGTCTGCAGATGGTGGTTTCTCACCATTTCTTTATGGTGAGAAACCATAAACAGTTGGGCATGGAGCAAGAAATCCTGAGCCACCCAAGCCCTTCCAGAGAGGGGGCGTGGTCAGACACAGCTCATTTACATTTAAAGCTACAGACACAGAAACAGCCTGTTCTGAGCAGAGCTGAAATAGAGGGGTTTATAGTCAGGATCAAATACAGGATCAGAGTGGATTTAGAACAAGAAACTTCACAGACATGTTTTAGGGAGCTCTGAGACTTATTTAAACTGGTCCAAAAGGGCGATAGTATGTGATCTTTAATTGTGACAAGATTATTTGTTACTAACTTTGCATTTTGGCAACAGTTTCTTAATGCTTTTTAACCAAGCAGGTACCACACGAGGAATAATGAGCCTAGACTTTACATTTGTCTGATGTTTACATGTCTACTAGGAGGCAGTGACATGCAGTAAATAGAAAATGGTTTGTGTTTCAGCAGGATCTTCCAGGTCACATTGAGGAAAACTCAAACAAGGCCATATTCTACCGGGTGAATGTCACATCAACATCTGGCAGGTACCTGTTTGAGTCGTCTCTGTACCCAGATCACTACCTGGGGTTAGAGACCGATGAGAGCAACCCCTTTCTGGAGAAACTGGTCCTGCGTCAGAAAAGTAGAGATGAAGTGGATGAGTCGACCCAGTTACTGGTTTTAACAATTTAGATGAATTCTGCAGTGTTATTTTCGATACAGTGTTTTTAAAATGCTGATTCAAGAAAACCAGAGTTTTTGTTGAATAGATGAACTGGGGGAAAAAAAGTACAGTTTCACACTTAACGATCTGGTTAAAACATAATTTTTGTACCTTTTTAATCGCAAAAAAAACACACATTTGGTTTAAGACAGAAGCCAACATGAAATGAGCATTAATGTCAGAAAACTTTGGCAACTTTATGTTGTGTCTTGGACAAAGTTTAATTTTAATCTTGTAATTTTACTATGTCAGTCTATTATTATTATTATTGTTAAGTCTTTTTCCACAGTGGCCCCAATTCTCTGTAATGTAGAGTTTCAGGTTGAGGCATAAGGAAGAATTATTTTCATTTATTTAGTTTTTTCTGTATGAACAATTGTTTATAAATAAATAAAAAACATTTCTTTACATTTTTAAAGTAGAGGAGCACATTTTTTCTTTTTTACTATTTTCCTCCATGTTGTTACCAAAAAAGCAACATTTAACAAACCCTCTGCGTTTGGTTTTTGCTTGGCCCTAATATTTATTTTTACATTTGGATCTCTAAAGTGTTCAATATGACATCAGATATGTATAAAGAAGATATGAATTAATCAATCCCAATTCATCCACTCAGTTTAGAACTGTGAAGGATATAATGTTATTTCATTAGGCTTTTACTTTTTACTTCCAAAAACATTTTTCATTTCGATGTTTTGATGTTCATTTGAATGTGAAAAAGTGCAGTAAATTATAGTTTTTTACTTTTGGAAACCTTTCATATAAAATCATTGTTTGTACTCCTGATGTTGTCGACTCTGTGATCATGTTTGGTTAAAATAAAACAAATTCAAAATAAAGTCTGGAAAGCCAACTTTATTCTGCTGAGGCAGGAAACACAACACTTTTCTTTTCACATCTCATTTTGTGCGTTTAATGTGACACGACATGAATTGAACAGATATCACATATTGATGATTGATTCAAAAGGAGCATTCGACAAACAAAGTGACAACAGACTGAATGCAGATTTTAAAGTGATCTGCTCGACCTGTAACATCGATTCTGGCTGTCATTATAAGCTGCATGCAAGGCAATGTGTGTGTAGCTAATGAATGAGTAAAATGTTCCACGTTGACATGAACACTGGAAGCCATGTTGTTTTCTTCTCTGAACAGACTGCACTTGATATTAAAGTTTTTATGTGCATGTTCTTGAATAAATGCAAATTTCAAACACATGAAGCCGTCTGTACTTTAAACATGATGCACAGCACGAGCCAGTCTGTTACAAAGCTCTTTATCTGACTGTCTCCGGCAGAGGACGGCAGCAGACCCTGCTGTGGATTACACACCGTCTCCTTACGAGAACACGCTTGACTTCATTAGCTGGTGTGTTTGCTGGATGGCTTGAATGTATGATACACCTCAGATCTCCTCCCTACGCCTTTTAATTCACCTTCAGTAGAGCAGCAGGCAGATGTCCACCTGGATTAAACCAGAGGAACTCTAAATATAAATATATATATATATATATATATATATATATATAGAAATAGAAAGCATCGCTGCAAGTCTCACTACAAGACATCATATCTGTGCTGTTCCATGTTTGAAAAATGCTCATCACCACATAACTGAATTAATCAGTCTTTGTTTTGAGATTTATTGGTTTTAAATTATGCAAAGGTAGCCTCAATGCTTCACCTTAAGAAAACAACATAACCTTGCTAGCTTTGATTGATGTAACACTTTCTGCTAGCCCCTTATTTGCTGTCTTAATGTGATCATTTACCTGAAATCAGTTCTTCTTTCAAGCTTTCAAACAGCAGCTTCGAGAGGCAGTAGTGGTTCATATTGACTGTGTGCTGCTGCTGCTTTGGAGAACAAGAAACAAGTCGATTACTGCGTGGGGGGAGCCACTGGTATAGAATCGGTTTATTGACACGTCTCGCTTCAGCTTTAACACAGCTGCTGAGTGGAGCCTTAATATATTCAGAGACGGAGAAAATTTTTCAAACATGACAACAATGGTGCGATGAGTCATAGTCGGACTCGCCAAGTTAGTATGCTGCAGAACCCCAATTACCAATACAATTAGTATGCAATTACCCCTCTTCCCTTTTAGCTTCCATTGATGAAAAAGGTAAATACTAACAGATGGCATTCTGCTCTCATGTCAACACCTGCTGCTCTCTGCAGAAACCACAAAGTTTCTCTTAAGCTGAGGGCGACAACAGGACACACAAAGTGGATTGTGTGTGTGAATTAGGGGTTAGTATGGAGGGTGAACTATGACACAAACACTGCTCTGCTCTGTTCTTCCTGATGGGTCTTAAAGAAAAGATTATGTACAAAATGTGTTCCAAACAAACCATTTAACAAATCCGCCACATGAAAATAATAAATTAGCTGTCAAAGGACTTCTTCCAAAGAAGATGAAGTTGTTATGTTGTAATCATACATGTCTCCTGTAAATAATTGTGATGTAGAAAATGGGCGTGACATTTGGACGAGCTAAGGGTCAAAAACTAGAGGGGAAACATTGAGTCCAAACGGAGGCTCAACTCCCTCGTTGTTGTAGAAAAAAATGGACACCTGTTTAACTAAACTGAGCAAGAACTTACCACATGGACAAGCCTGAAGTGATGGGCATTGATGACAACTATACACGTGTGAATCGCTGTCGTATCGTCAAAATGGTATATATTTATAAGAATTTACATGGAACACCTTGAATTTTTACAATCAGCCAGGACCAGACTGTTCCCGTCCCCAGCGTCTCGGTCCTCCCAACTTCCCCAGTCCACAGTCATGTTCATTTGCTCCACAGCAGGGCGATGGCTTTGCAGATGCCCACGTCGTTGTAGTTGAAGTAGCACAGGCCGGCGAAGGTGACCGTCGACAGGAGGAAGAGACCTGCGTTTGCCATCTTGATCTTTGCGTCGCCATGGACGTAGTCTGTTAACACCTGCCCGATACCCCTGCAAGACAAACAAATTAGCCCAATTAGCAATAACATTATGACAACCTGTCCAATCTAAGGATATGTTCTACCATAAATTCTACTTTTACAAAGCGTCTATGTTTTCAGTTTTTAATGACATGTACATGATACATCTACTTTATATTTATTATTAAAGGTGGGTGGTGGTTGTGTGCTGGAGTGCATTATAATGAAAGGTCTTCCTAATATTTTGCTTCCCTATTAACTTAAAAGAAGGCAGCTAAATATTAAGTACACCTTCCCCCCCAAAAACTATGAAAGCAATGCTTAAAAAATGACTGCTGTGTAGTGTAAGCTAGTCCTATACTCTTATAAAGATGTCTTTTATTTATTTATTTATAGAGAGGAGAGTGGGGGATGACATGCAGTAAAGGGCAGAGGTTGGATTGGAACCCATGGGCTGCTGCGATGAGGACTATAGCCTCAGTACATAGGGCGCGCAACATAACCACTAGGCTATCTGCACCAGCTAATCCTTTACTATCCAAGAACAAAACTCCCCCTCACATCTCTCATGGCTGCTAAGAAACAACCCAGATGGTTGGCCCACAACTCCTGCAGCCCCGGAGAGACAACTCTGTTGAAGTCAACATGCTCAACTTTCAATACTTGGCCAGAAACAATATGAAGTCTGGGAAGCTGCTCGGTGACATTTCCTGTGATTTGATTGATCCCCAAACAAATATTCATTCATCCACGCTCAATTTAAACAAAACATCAGAAACGTTTACAGAAACTTTAATGTTGAACTATGGCAAAACATTTCCACATGTATTGCTTTGTTGGAGGGTTAACGTAGAGTCGGGTTTCCTCTGGTTTAATTGGCGCTGTGGACAGCCGAACATTCCTAAGAGTATAAAATCCTATTAGGCATTATCCTGAGAGCCAGCTGAAAGGAGGAAGCTTTCCAGCCTACTCATGCTTTAACCATTGGCTGTACTGACCCCAAATCACACTGGAGACTTCATCTAAGTGGTTTTGGCCAGAGAGGACAGGTCTTGACCCTTTGTGATACAGACCTGCTCTGAAAGCTGTTGCTTAACCGGACTTATCACTTCTCATGACTGGGATTTGTGGCCTACACCTGCCACGTGGTTCAGTCTGCGCTATGACTGATGGACGAACACACCGCTGTGACGCTAAGCTAAAGCCGCCCTCTGAAGTCCGCAAACAGAGCCAGAGCTAACCGGGGCTGATTGAGTATTGGCTGACAGCGACGGCGAGATGACTTACACCAAACCGCCGTGTCGTAAAGTTTCCCTTTGTCTCATCGGGGTCAGTGAACAAACTAAATCTTTGTACTTTGGAGACACGGTTGGGAAATAAGCTCCACTTTCATTCATGCTCCCTCATTAATCACAATCTGCTGGTGTCTGACCACACAAGTCAGGAACACTGTAATGGCCCTGGAAGCTGAAGAATCTAAACTACAACTCCCTGCTGACAATTTGACAAGAGAAACAGAGCTCAACAATGACCGGCCACATTTACTGCAGCTCTGGTTCTGCAAGAAAATGTCCCTATACAAATCCTCCATTGACATTTCAATAAATCCTTATCTCAAGAGAATGAAGCCTGAAACCATGACAACCAGCTAACCCAATACTCGTCACTATAATACATTTGATTCGGCTAAATTCCAGCAAACTACTTTCTTTGTGTTTCAAGTCCTTAAACCTGCTTTTAATTTCATTATAAACTTGTATGACAGATTCCAATCTTCAGATATCTCCAACCAAATCATTAGTGACACACGTTAAGCTTAACCCTAAGAGAAGTCTAAAAGCTCCACCAAAGACGATTGGAGAACCCGAATTTCTAACATAACACTTCTTTATCAAGTTGTTTTCATTCTTGGAGGAGACCTCTAAGGATAATTTACTCCTGATACAGCTCAAAAACAAGCTTAAAAAAATTCCAGACATTCAACATCTCCACAAAATGTGAGACTACTCAGGGTACCTACAAGTAGGGATGAAGATCTTTCATGTTTTATTGATTCACTTATTGATACTCCTTAACAATCTAAGTCTTTGTCGATGCCACTACAGACACTTTTCCATTACTTGTTGGAGAGAAGACTGTTTGTTTTTGACAGAACTCGTTTATCTATTTTTTCATTGCTCGGAAAATAAACAATCAATTTGTCATAATAGCAAATGTTGTGAATTCGATGCATGACCTTTGAACTCCAGTGAATAACATTTTTAAGAAACAACGTATGGAGGCTGTGGTCCTCCAAGTGGGCGGCCCAGGTTCGAATCCGACCTGTGGCTCCTTTCCCACTCTCTCATCTCTACATTAAAGACACAAAAAGCCCAAAAAATAAATCAATTCTTCCCCCCCAAAAAAAGAAGCCACTGTGATTTTGGATCTGTCGAAATCTAATCAATTCATCCTTAAATACAAGCTGGTGTTTTTGCCAAATTTGAAGTTTTTTTTTTTAGTGTTTGGGGGATTCTGCTTTTCAAAGAATGTCAAGGACAGTGCGAAAGTATTATATCCGCTGTAGAGATGTGACTGAAGTGAAGGTATTAAAAGAGTGCAAGGAGTTCATTATTAAATAGAAATAATTAGTTCCAAACTCGACTATGGGTTTGAATGAAAAACCTTGATTTGTACATTTTCATGACTAACATCTTCAGGACTAATTCTATCAGGGTTTGGGTAAATGTTTGCAGGTCTTACCAGTGCCCGTGCAGGGTCAGGGCAGCAGCCAGAGAGTAGTCGACGAACGGAGAGGGACTAAAATATGCTGCAGGTCCCAAGGCCAGCAGCAGGATGCTCACTACTCGCTCTCCTGTCCAGTGCAGAGAGGCGGCTTTAGAGCCAGAACCCGCTGAGGAGTTAGAGAGACGAAAGCAAAGTTAATGATCTGCATGCTAAAAGAAGATAAAAACAAATCTATCTTAAAACACAAAGAGAAATAGTTTGATTTGTTGTAGTATACAGGAATAGGTTGCGATTTTGAGATCTTCTTTCTTACTGAGTTAGACCTTCATTTGTCACGTGCAAAACAAATGTATCCAACATCAAACAGAGGATCTCATACCTATCAAACACAACTTTCAAAGGGACCACATATTTTCACAAGCAAACCCACAGTTAAAGGTACATTTACAAAAAGCCAATTGGAAACTAAAGCTCTGTCGCAAGGAAAGGTTTAAAGGTCACATTATTCCTCCTTTCAATCAGTGTAAATAAGTCTCAGAGATCCCCAAAACATGTGTGTGAAGTTTCTAGTTCTAAATCCACTCTGATCCTGTATTTGATCATGACTATAAACCCCTTTATTTCAGCCCTGCTCAGAACAGGCTGTTTCTGTGTCTGTACCTTTAAATATGTAAATGAGTTGTGTCTGTGTATTTTGCATAATATGTGACCTTTAAGATACACATTCTGTAAAGCTAGATAATCTCCACTTTGATGAATTGTGATGCTTTTTAGAAGCAAAGGCTAATGTTAAGCTATAAACAAGCTAAACCATCATCATTGTAAATCAGCTTTCGTCTTCTCCCAGTTCATCGTGATGAGGATGATGTAACTGATAACCTCCGTAGACTCATTTATCCACATGTTGGAAAAAAAAACATTTACGGTTGTATTAATATTTGATGTGTTGCCGGATAAAACAGTTATGTTAACCCTTGGTTTAATTTCAGGGATCTATAAAAAGAATCGGCTTTGAGACGAAGGAACCAAAAGTGAAAAACTGTCAACTCATTTCCAGGTTTTAGGACTTATCGCTGCAGCAGCGTTTTTACTTGTTTCAGACAAAACACAAGTAGAAGTGAAAAGAGGACACAATGTGGCTCCACATTCGACTGTGAATTATAAACATGTCTGAACCTTTTTCTCATTCATCAAAATATGTCAGAGTAATCGCAGATCACTGTTATTGTGCAATGTTTAAACAATTTATAAAAACTATTAGTGGTTAAAGAGATCAGTGGTAAATAGACTTAAGCTTGTCTAGCTTTTCTAGTCTTTCACTACTCAAAGCCCTTTTACACCGCAGGTCACACCTACACATTCACACACTGATGGCAGAGGTTGCTATCTAATGTATTACCTAATCTCATTCATAAAACATTCACACGCCACTGATGCAGCACAGGGAGCAATTTAGGGTTCTGTACCCTGCACAAGGACACTTCAACATAAGGCTGCAGGAGCTGGGTAAGCCCCGACCTTCCAGCTGAGAGACAACCCACTGAGCCACGGCCCCGGACTGTACATACAGTTTTCCAAAAACAATGAGATTTTTCAGTGTTAACATTTATGTTGTCTTTGTGATATTTTCCAATCAAATATAAAGCCCCCATTCATTCTGAAGTCACTACATTTATTTTTCCTAGTGCCAATTAGAATGTTAGGAATTTTCCTTTTCCAGACATCCGTTATTTCTTGTTGTGAAGTATAAAAAGATTTAGTAAAAAGAAAAAAATATGTTTTTAATTTCGCATAACAAGTCAGATTAGTATATTATTAACAAAAATGTGGTTTAGAAAAGTAGAAATGACACATCTGTATTAACAGATTCATTTTGATCCCAAGGGGAAAAAAAGCGTCCACCCTTACTTGTAGATGACCCAGTAACCTGAACATTGTGGGTCACAGTGGGGGTAAACAGCTTTAAACAGGCCTTAAGTGAACCGGTGTCAAAATACGAAAACCACTCTGAGCATCTGAGGTGCTAAAGCTGGACCGCAAACCAGCAGTCATAAATCATCGAGGCAGTAAGCTAGTTGCTATTACTTCAAACAGGAAAAACTAGAGGTGTGTAAACACAACAATCTGCAGAATAAAAGATATATCTGTCGTCGTCAAAGCCAAAACCAATACTAACATTAAGAATCAAACACGCTGTCCTGTTTGTTGGTGCTAATATGTGCATGTCCTCATCTCCAGAGTAAAGTATTCTGGACTTTGACCATTGGAGCAGATCATTATCACATGCATACACAATGCAATGTGCTATTATACTGGGTTTGAGTAATACTGGGTTCAAAAAGCTGTATTTATAACTGGGTTAAGCTCAGAAAAGGTGAGAAAAGTGCAGCTTGTAATGTTAAAAAAATGTGTTGCTTCAACCCAGTGGTAATGTCTACTCCAGTTTTGAATGTATTAAGAGTTTGTTTTCTGTTGTTCTGTATCTGCATACTTCCTGTAACTTATGTATGTAAAAGAGATTCTTTTTCAATTGTAAACACTGACCGTGCAGAGCCTGTGACGAATGGATCCTCGCCGTCAGCTGGTACGGCTGTTCCTGGTATTTGTATGGTACAACCAGCGGCCTGGCCAGCAAAGTGCTTTGGTAAAACAGAGCTGAAAGAAAAGACAAAAAATGGTTTCCCAAAGGTGGCACAAAGTATAAAACTTAACCACAGCTTACACTGAAAGAGTTGTAAACAAAGAGCCTCGGCATGAAATCCATATGAAGAAAATCAATCAAATACTTAGATTATTTAGAAATCCGTTTGGTGATCTTTGAAACAAAAACCTCAAACTTTGAATGGTTCCAGCTCCGTCAGCGTGTGGATTTGCTGCTTTTTTAATTTTCATTATGGAAACAGAATTCTTTGTTTGGAAATTTTCATTTAAAAAAAGTAAAAAAAAAAAAAAAAAAGAAGCTATTTAAAGATGGGCATTTTGCTTATCTTTTCATATACTTCATTGTTTATCAATTTAAAAAATATAAAATGATATTTCTGATAAACTGTTTATTTTAAAACGCAGCCTTAATTTTTTTTTTTTTACTATATTTTGCCTTTATTACGAACAATTAAACTGTTGCTCTAACTAATATAGTAACGAATAAAATATTCAAACTATCAAATATATTTCTGTTTCCCCACGAGTTGATCTTAAAAACATGCTCTCTGTCTTGAAAACCTCTGTTTTCTGGAAATGAGCAGTAAAGCAGATGTTTAGTATTACATCGGAATCATGTAAACACAAAGAGCCAAAGAAAAGCAGCTTGTGGTTTCCACATAGACACTTTATGGTTTTGGAAAGTGTCCACCCATTCAGTCAAATGAGGGCGGTGGCGAGCAGTCTTCACCTAACATGAACTTTAATTAAAGGAGAATCTATGCTCCTCCGTGAGGTTTATGCATGCCGAATTCAAAAGTGAGACTTCTCATCTTGGAAAATGTCCTCAGTTAACTTCTGCATGATACTTAAGGTTTAAAAAATTATTTAAAGTTATAATTATCATATTTCTGAATGGGGTTCTGCGCCTGTCGAGAGAGCAAAAACGCCGTGGTCGGACAGAGTGATGTCATAATGGCAGCGAAATTTAACCGAACCTCAGTGAACTCACTAAGAAACCATCTGACATCAGTGTGAATTAAACTTTAACACTAACCAGTGATGATAGTGAGTAATAAAAACACTGACAACATGTTTATCTAACGAGTCGTGAACTTGAAGGGAGAAGTCTCCCCCCTGTCCTGATTTGTTCATACACAGTTTAAAATGACGCACTCTCCGTCGTATTAACATCAACTTACTACACAACAGTGACCACATTTATCAGAAGACAGAGAAAATATAGAAATACTCACGTTTGACTCCTCTACGACACACAGAACTCAACCTGACGATAGTCGCCATGATGATCAATTCACCAAGGTCACCACGGTTACCCGGATGTACTTGTTAAATCTTCGGAAGCACAAAGATATTCAATGTTTGAGAAGATTAGTAAACTGTTTCAGTTTATCTTTTCGAAACGCAAAGATATTATTTATCTTCTACTCACGCGTTACCCAGACATTGATGTTATTTAATGTTTTAAAAAAATATTTCTAATCAATATACTCTGCCATATGAGTTCGTGTTACTATATCATTAACTGGAAGAATTAATCCAATCTCACTTTAATTTTTTTTTTTATTAGTGATTATTTTTAATTACATCCAGAAAACCTTGACGATTCATTATAATGTATGAATAGTCTTCTCTGACATGGTATTAGTATAAATATGGTTCAGCCAAAAAAAAGGTAGGATATAACACGAGAAAAATAAGAAACTAACTTTTCTTGTATAACTGCTTTTTGTAAAATGTGTGCTTCTTAGACACTGAGGAAAAACTTAATAAAGAAAGGAGAAGACAACTATAATTATAACATTAAATCTTCTGAAGCAGAATCAGTATCAGAATAAACTTAATCGGCCAGATATGCTTACACATACACAAGGAATTTAACTTCGGTGAACTGAGCTCTCTCTGTCCAAAAGTACAACATTAAATATCGACAATAAACACAAAGTAAACACACCAATATGTACAAGACATAAGATAATAGTGCAGTGGTGAGTAGTGCAAAAGATGCTGAAGTAACATGATAATAATAAAAATGTACAGTAAATATGTGACAGCTGGGTTAATTTACATGAGGTAGAGTTTTACAGTATTTATATTAAAAGTGTGCATAGTGTTTTCATGTAGAAGTAGTCTATGGATTAAATATATTTTTTTAAATGGCTCAGATAAACGTGATACCAAAGATTTTGACTTTACGCAAAGTGATGTTTTGATAGCCTAGATTTTTCCAAATAATCTAATTTTAACGAGTAAGCTCCTGTCAAACACAAAATATCTTTGTACGCGTCAGTGTTTGCGTCAGCTTCCACTCGTTGATTTACAAACGATCTGGACAGGAACACCCTACACGCGTAACCCATCCCTTGATTTATAGATCAGCGGTGACTCAGACACAGCAGCGCTCAGTCCAGAGGAAGCGAAGGTCACCTCCCCTTACCTCAACTCACTGCAGCAGCTTGTCGGCGTGAATAGAGACTTTTTCTCTGTAATTATTCCGTTAAAAAATGGACAATTTTGATAATTACAACGCGTCGGATAAAGCAGAGGCTTCGGAGCTTCAGCGCATGATCGCCATAGAGCAGCAGAAAGCGCAGTTCCAGGCCCAGGTGTGTATGCTAACTATGCTAACCTGTATCTCCCTTTAGCAGACATGCACATGCATTAGACATATGAGAGACTTTTAAGACTTGTATGTAGGCAGCACTATCAACATATAACAGCGTGTTACAGAGATCAGATATCATAATACATTACAAAGTAAAAATGACTTGTGGAAGGTAAAGAAAGGCAAAGCAATTTTTATAGGAAATTTAAAAAACAGGGCAATTCAAAGTGCTTCACACAAGACATCAGAAGAATGTCTTGTGTGAATACAGAATAAAGATGCATTCACACCTGAAGGTTAGTTTAGGTTAGTCTGCATTCATTTAAAAAACAAGTAACATTGTATTGCCTTTTAGTTGGTTTGTTTCTATAGTTGTCTCCTACAATCACATCTCCAGCTTTAATTAAACATGTAAGGATATGGATTAGAAGAGTAATTAGCATGACAGTTATTGGAATTGTCCAATAAAAATGCTTGTTTTTGCATTATAATTGTACCTTGCTGAACACTGGGTGACTGCTGCCTTGTTCTCTTTGTTTTGTTTTAATACATATTTTTGTTGGATTCACATTGTAAACACTAAAGTTGCACAATGACACAAACAAATGAACATGTAGAGGTTTATCAGCATCTCTGGTGTTTTGGTTGTCAGTCTCGTCTGGCGGCTTTGATTAGAGAGGTGTAGGAGCAATTTCTGGTTCAAAAATATGTAACTGTATAAAAAAAAAAAAATTCTCTGTAGTATCCTATCTGTAATACATGAGACACACAGAATAACAATCTGAGTTACAGTCGCAGGGAAACAGCCATGTTTCTTGCCAGTGGCTGAAGCAATCTGCCAGTGAAATTAGATAAATGTATAAGTGCTTTAGATCCTACGACTTAGCATAGCACGCTGTTGAAAACATTTCAGAATCCTTTATTAACAATTTGAAGGAGCTCTGATCCCATACTCATAATCAGTTGTGTCGTGTGAGAGGTTTACCGGTTCAGAGGTCAAACACCATGATGTATTAACCCCACAATCCTTTGTTAATAAGCCTTGTATGTATTTATTCCAGGTGCACACTTTCACTGACGTTTGCTGGGACAAATGTGTGGACAGCCCGGGCTCCAAGCTGGACTACAGGACGGAGACGTGCCTGCAGAGCTGCGTGGAGCGCTTCATCGACACCACCCTGGCCATCACCAACCGCTTCACACAGATGGTGCAGAAAGGAGCTCATTAACGATAATACACCGTCGATGCCAACCAGACTGTGTTATGACATTCATCAGATATTTTGTATTCTTATGATGTTGGTAGAAGATTAGATGAAGAGGATGTTTTTTTAAATATAAATCACTGTGTATGCTTCAGGGGTCTTTAATGTGATCAAATGGAAAACTGTGCATGGATACAGCTGCACATAACAGCCAGAAGTACCTCTTTGACTCTATGAAGTGATGTAACCTGGCATGAGTAAAGTGAAATATTGTGCTCATGTTCACTGTCTTGTCTGTTTCTTTCATGCATGTTCAAAACCCAAAATAAGACAACAATCCAGGAACATCTGGAAGCTTGAATATGTGTCAAACCCACAGAAAACATCAGCTGATGAGGGTAAACAGAAAACAATCACAACTGTAATAATAACAGTGATGTATAATAACATAATCTATATAGTTCTCATTCATATTAATTAAAGGATAAATAAAGACATTACTGACTCTTTGAGACACTTCCTCTGTACATTAAAGCTGAACGTCTACCATGACAGTATGAAATGTCTCCTGATTACAAAAGAAACCTCAAAGAAAAATGTTGTACACTAATACAACTAAAGAAAGTAAAGAAGTAGGGACACTGAAATGTAAATGTGATTTGCAAAGCATTGAAGCTCTATATTCGATTGAAAATTTCACAAAGGCAACAACATAAAATGTTCACAAGGAGAAATATCGTTTATGGAATACTGTGAGCCCTTTTCTGATTTGATGTCAGCAACACTTTTCAAAAAGTTGTAAAAGTGGCAGAAAAAGACTGAAAAGTTGTGAAAAAAAACACCTAATGAAACATCTCAGTTTATAAGGTAATAACTATGAAAGGTTTAGGTTAGTAATATGACTGGGTATTAAAAGAGCAATCCAGAGTGTTTCTGAAGTACACACAGAGAGGGGCTCACTGCTCTGTGAAAGATTGGGCTGGCAGATAATAACAATAATAAATTATACTTATATAAGCCGGTCCTGACCCAGGACCAGTGGAAACTCAGACTGCTATTCAGACTCATACACATTGTGTAACTCAAGTTGCTGCTATACTTTCCATCCACAGAGTCCTTTGGTGGGTGCAACAGTGGGATTTGTAGTTTTTAGTCAGAGGTCATGTTTGCAGGCTGTATGCTCCTCATCACAATCATCTTGCTTTTAATGAGATCAATATTATCAGTTAAAGACATGTACTCTGACTCAGTGTACTGTTAATGATCAAACTGGTACTTTCTGTGAACTCTTCTTTCTGTGAAAAGTTATTATTTCTAGTTTTGACCCTTTCACATGCTTCAAATGTCAAATCAGTTATTAGCTGTTCCACTAGGGACACATATGGCAGTAGCTCAGTCTGCAGGGATTTTGTTTGGGAACCGGAGGGTCGCCAGCTCAAGTCCCGATACATACTAAAGTCTGGCAATTGGTCTGGAGATGAAGAGGTGCCAGTACACTTCCTGAGCACTGCTGAGGTGCCTCCTTTGCAAGACACTGAACTCCCACCAGCTTAGGAATGCTCGCTGTAGGCTCGCTCGGACATCTCTCCATCAGTGCATGCATAGGATCCTGCTTGTGCATGTGTGTGTATATTTCAGCATGTTCAATAACAGAGGGTACAATTGGATTTCCCCTCGCAGGACTGATAAAGTATATGATACCCTGACTTGAGATCACACATGGTTCCATGTGAATAGCTGTTTGAAGCCCATAAAGACTTAAAATGATGCATTAAATTTAAAAAGTACTAAAACAAAGAGGTGAAATGCTGCTGGTTATTATTGTTTATACAATATGGAAACCTGGAACACAGGAGTACGTCCAATTAACAGTATTTGAGCTTCCCATCCTGAGCATCTATATCCGAGTTCTAATTACGGGGGAATCTGTTCAGAAATTCACAAGTTGAACTTCTGATGATGTCGATCTAAATCAGTAAATATGTACATAACGCACAGTATGTCATATTGAAAGGGGTTAATACAAAAAAACAACAGAACATATAAAGATGACAGACAGTAGCTTCTGATTTTAGAAGTGGAACTAATGCAAAATGGCTTTGGACCTGTAATCTCTCTAACGATCAGCAGGGGGCGACTCTGCAGAAAAAACCGAAGTGCTAAGACATTCAGTTCCTTTCCACAGAACGGTAAGAGATCACTTAATCTATTGTTAAAGAACAATCTCTTCTGTACATCCGCTGTCATAAAGAGGCAACATTTACAAAGTCAGTAAAGGGTGGGAACGATTAAAGGGCAAAGGCAGATAGTTAGTGATAAAATACTAAGGGACTACACTGTCTGCAATCAGAATGTCAATAATACAAAAATAAATAATTAAGCATTTCAATTTTTTTTCCGCAAAAAAACAACCGTGTTGTTAATATTTCTCAATGGTCTCAATTCATTCTCATCCTGGGTTCAGGTCAGGTTTTAATATAAGCATTATTTCACAATATTAATGTTTCTGTAAATGGAAATTTAAACCATTCAAAATGTACCATGTTAAAATGATTTCTTCATTTAAGATCCATATTTTTATGTAGGCTATTTAAACAAAGAAAAAACTCCTTGACATCACGTCAATAATTACTTCAATAAAATAAGATTTCAAAATTCAAATTACACTTACGGCATCCAAACAGATTTCATTATGCACAAATAATATTTCAATATTTTCAGTTGGATGTTTTTGTCATTTCCACAGTCCTAGGAAACAGTCTCTATGTGCACCAATATGGCATATGACACCAGATTGCCAAGAGCTATTGACATGCATTTAAAAAAAATCCTAAATTCAGATGAAACACTCTGAAGCGTGTTAAAAACATGTAAATGGAAAACAGTCTTTCCTCTTCACTTCATCCAAATATTGCAAAAGAAAAATAGCCTGGAACACACTATAGTGAAAAGAGGGTAGGGGCTCATTTACTATGCTGTCTCTATCTGTGCATTTGCCAGTGTTTTGTTTTATTAGTGCATGCAGCTTGACACTTTATTCCTCATGAAACTCAGTGCTGAACTGTAACTTCTGAACATATCTAATGGGACTCCTTGAGTTGAGCTTATCTCTCGCTGACGTCCACAGAATTCCTCCATCCTTCTACACAAATGCATTTATTAGTTTTCCTTTTTCAATGAAGTATAATCTCGAAATTATTTTAAGGCCAGAGAATGCCCCATAGCAATTTTATAGTCACCTTTTGACTCTGTGATATAGAACTGTTTATGTGAAAATTATTTAACTTGTTTAGTATTTTCAGAGTCTGAAAACTGCTGAACCCTGGTTTAAAACATGTACAGTTAGATATAAGATAAGTAAGTTATGCATATAATATTTACTGTACATTCACTTAGTTTATAATTAAACTTTCAACTATGAACTTAAAACAAACAAGATCATTTATGGCATACAAATATTTTTTATGTAAGATTTTAAAAATGGAAAGAGTGAAGAGGGTGGTGTTGAGGGGTTTGGGTTGGTGGGGCAGACGTAGGAGGGGCTTGTGAGTCTCTGAGGCTTCTGGAGGAATGATTGGTTGTCCATTCATAGATGCCCCGTGCAGGAACACTGAAAACACAGAGGAGTCCTGCCCTGTGAAAAAGATGAATAAGACATGTGTTAGTGTGGACATAGTATGACAACATTTGCATGATATCTTTACCTATAATAAAAAGAATACACATATGTAAAGTCATCTTAAGTTTATCAGCACTTACTTTGCTGTGTGACAGCAAGGTGCCCATCGCTCTCCAGCTGGTCCTGTAGTCATCCATCCTTCACATCTGCTCTGGAGTAAACACGTCTTCTGTTGCCATGGGAATCTTGGGTGTTGAGTCTTGGCCTTCTCCATCGTCTCGTCTTGTGGGGGGGGGGGGGTTGGTACATCTGAGAAGCAAACAAACAACAGTATAACTAAGTGTGCTAAAGACAACACTTGCTTTTTATTAAAAAAAAAACATGGATATGAACATTAGATTCCTAATGTTAGGCAGTATAAACTTACCTCTGTCTGCTAGTCACCTACACCTAATTTATAAACATGGTTACGTGCAACACAGTGATGACAATAAACAGTGTTTAATTACCTGTGCATGGAATTATCAGCCGTCTTTAGAAACTGTTGCTATTAAATATTACCTTACCTTTGTCTGGTATAGCCACCTGGACCGTACATAGACAAATACACAACAACATAACAAAGTAAGAAAGAGTAACTATCTCTGAGTCTGCACTATTCCAGAAGTTGATTTAAACTATCAAAAAACGTGCCTAATGCTTGTACAGTACTTGCAGCTGTTAAGGCTGCCTAACAGCATTGTCTGCCAGACATGTGGAAAGGTTTCTGGGGCTTTGAAAAGTCCTGCCAGACACAAAGATTCCACTTTTTACTTCCTGGAGTAATCAGGGCTGTCATCCAAATCAGAATAGCTGTCATCAACCACAGGGGGATACTCCCAGAATCCTCTTCTTCTGTAGAAGCCTGAGGTGGATGGAGCGGAGTCCATGTAGCTCTCCTCCCTGCTCCTCTTGGTGGAGGAGCTGAGGCATGAAGTGGAAGTAGCACTCTCCTCATAGCATTCCTCACAGTCACACCTGGGCCTCTTACTACTTACCTGCTCTGTGAGGATCTCCTCCCTGCTCCTCTTGTGGAGGAGCTGAGGCCTGAGGTTGAGGGAGCACTCTCCTCGTAGCATTCCTCACAGTCACACCTGGGCCTCTTACTACTTACCTGCTCTGTGAGGATCTCCTCCCTGCTCCTCTTGGTGGAGGAGCTGAGGCCTGAGGTTGAGGGAGCACTATCTTCTGCTCTTGAAGGTGAGGTAGGATCTTCTTCCTGTGGATGTCGGACAGTCAGCAGCTGAGGAGGAGCATCAGGAACAGGAGGAGACACCTGCTGCCATCTCTGGTAGAAATCCTCCGGGAGCTGCTGGTCCATAGGGGAGAGAGATCTGTTGTCCTCCTCTTCATCTTCATCCTCGAGGTCCTCTTCAGAGTCATACATGGATTCATACCCAGAATCCTCACTGAGCGAGTCTGAAAAGTCCTCCTCGTCCTCGGTCTCTTCGTCCTCGGTCTCCTCTTCACTCTCCTCTTCCCTCTCCTCTCCCCTCTCCTCTTCATGCTCCTCTCCCCTCTCCTCTTCGTTCTCCTCTTCATGCTCCTCTTCATGCTCCCCTCTCCTCTTCATGCGCCTCTCCCCTCTCCTCTTCGTTCTCCTCTCCTCTCTCCTCTTCGTGCTCCTCTCCCCTCTCCTCTTCATTCTCCTCTTCCTGCTCCTCTTCGCTCACCTCATCTTCATCCTCAGAGGACACTGGAGGAATGTCCCCTGGTCTACCTACCTCTTCCTCTGCTTCCATGTCATCTGAAATCCAGATTACTTCCTCCTCATCACCAGAGGACACTGAACAAATGTCCACTGGTATACCTACCTCTACCTGGTCCTCCTCCTCCTCCTCCTCGTCATCCAAGACCCAGATGACTTCCTCTCCCTCACCAGAGGACACTGGGGGAGTGTCCTCTGGTATACCTACCTCTACCTCAGAATCATCGTCGTCCACGATCCTGATGCTGATCATCTCGGGGAGGCCGTCTGGTGCAGGACGTACCACTAAGGGAGACAAAAATAAAGCATCAGTATACCTGATTTCAAACCTCTGATTAAATAACAACATCTGTGTAAAGTTAGCACTTCATTTGTCTGTATACTGACTAAGATTGCAGCCTAAACAATCCCAAACCAGCCACAAACCGTAGGCCCTTTGATACAGTGATACAAAATATTGTGACACTCTACTTTGATGATTTTTTTAAGCTGTGTTCATGCAACACTTGATGAAAGCAATACTTTTTTTCTGCTGGGAAAAACATACATACAAGGATGTTCATATATATATATACATCAGAAGACCCAGGTTATAAACTAGAAATCTACAATTTGGTCATTTTTTAAAGCCTTTTATTAGTCCTGTTTTACTGGTGTATTTACATACATGATGGATAAACAAACATAACACTGACAAATGTTACAATTCTAGGATTTTCTAAAAATAGGCAAAATAAAGTCTACTTAGAAGAATCTCCAACCAGCTCAGAGCTTTTTTTTTATAGAAGGGACTATTTTAAGGGTAGCTGGTTTGCCTAAGTTAGCAAATATTTTTGTATCAAAATTGTGTATGATGATAGGCCACTGTATCAAATTTGATTCAATTTGATTTAATAAAAAACGCAATTGAAAGCATGAATTATGACATTGAACTCAAATATAGAAGGCCTAAATTAATATAAAATCCATGATCGTAATTTGATGTAATGAGAACAGCTTGAAAATAAAAGCACAATATAATTCAATATTATCTCCACATCAAAACAAACGTACTGAGATAAGAACGTGCCTAGTTACTGACACTGACGTTCTGACGTCATGGATCTCGCTAACGATGGTCTCCATGGTGCAAAACAAAATAATATATTTAGCATTTTACGAAATTTGGCCTGGTCGCCATCTTTTTCAGATAATTTATATTTAATTTCTTAACAAAATTGTTGCTCTTAAACAAAAATAACAGTATTTCAAATCACCCCGACACTTCCTAATTAATGCCACAATTGGCGCGCTAAGTATTCAGACATTACAGCAATCAAAAGGTTTTTTACACAGGAAAAACAGTGAGAAAATCAAAGTTCACCAAACATTTGTTTTTTCATTGAGGCCTAATAACATCATGAGAGCTCTCGACTTTAAATCTCACATTTAAAAAAAGGTTTGACTGATAAAACGTTAGAGCGTTTATGGAGATTAATAAATTAATCAGTAAAATGTCAATGGTAAAAAAAAAAAGGTCACATTTGACATACCTCCACCGCTGTCAGACAAGTGTTGGGCGGACAGGTGCTCCTCGTCCATCACCGGTCCGCTGAAGGCGATCTCCGAGCTCTTTGGTGACCCCGATAGGTGTCCCACTGAGTCCAAGAAGTTCTTTTCTTTCCTGTTGTTTTAGAAGAAGTGTTCTTGTAGAAGATATTGATGCAGCGCTTTTAAATAGTTAGCTTTCCAGCAAGGTCTTGCAAAAAGGTCAACTCTCGTCAAAGTTCAATTGCAAAAGGGGAAAGTTGAACGGTCTGCGGCCCTTATATAGCCTCGGTTGGTTGTTACCATGGTGATTGATGACGCGCGTGCGTGAGTGCGTGCGTGTAAACCGATGCGGACAACAGCACGAGCCAGAAAGAGACGTTAATGTGGCCTCTTAAGAGAAAACTTCTTAAATACTCCTTCATTGATTGAGGGACCACAATTTCCATTTTTGATATATTCCTCTAGGGGTTGTTTTTTTAAAATGTTGTTTTTATTAAATGTTTTAATTGGGGGTCATTATGAAATCTAAAAAGTAACCCTTTACATGCCAATTTGTTTCACATAATTAACTGTTTTTTTTCCACATGTTTTAAAAAAAATTCAACATACTAAAAGGTAATGTGATTATTCTACTATTATTATTCCTGTTAATAATAGGAATCAGCAATAATTCAGTCTGTTTCATGACTAGTCAGCAGCTGATCACAGGAGCTTTACATTGAAGCTGACAACCATCAGACCTGCAGTGCAGAAATCTCTGTTGATGAGCAGGTACGACACAAGTTCTCATTAATGGAGACAAAAATGACACAATTTGTTTTCAATCAATACACAAACTCATTTATTGCAGTGCACTTAAGAGAAAACCAGTAAGTGCACATCCAGGGAGAATGTATACAGGTGCACAACAAGGAATGTATTAACTGCAGAAAAAAAAGGAGGTCTGCATATTGTTCAGCTCCCAATGGTGATTTTATTTTGACATTTTTATTTATAAGTTGTTGCCCTGTCTAAATGAAAGTGCCATTTGGAGCTGAACCGTGTGCAGGCCTTTCTCTTAATTCTGTCTTAAGATACTTTTTTTTTTAAACTTGCCTTTTTAGCTGGTTTGAGAAAAAGAAGAAGATGCATTGGACAATACTGCTGAATTTCATGCTTCAAAAGTGAGGTTCACAAACCAATGGCTTATGTAAGTCTGGCTTTGTCCACTTCTTTGAACAGTCTATGGTTGAAATTGATTGACCAGTATGTAGATTGAACACAGAAGATATAAAACACATTTTTGCTTCAAAAAACTAAAGTGTGAGGCTGTTTATATTTTTCGCTGCCCTGAGTGCAGACTTCATGGCGGTTTCTATCCACCCGTGAGGTGTAGCTGTATGTTCTCCTGCAAAATGCACCCGCCCCTCACTCTGGAACAGTTCTCGGGCGTAGTGTCCCTGCTGGTAGGGCGTGAACAAGGCGAAAGCTCCTAGACTGTAAGGATCCAAGCCCCACTTCTTCACTAGCCCCCCTGTCCATATAGGCCGGATATCCTCTCCGTGGATCTTCACCAAATCCTCCAGCACCACCGCCATCAGCTCGTCCTCGCTCAAGCCTTGGAAGAGGGTGGAGTCGTCAGAGCAGGTGTAGGACGCGAGGAGGGCCCCTGCGTCTGTGCCGGGGAAGCTGTGGCTGGGGTAGTAGATGAAGCGGGAGGGCCGGTCTGTGACGCTCTTCCCTCCTCTGATGCCTTCTTTCTCCCAGAACCTCTGACTGAAGCTGAGGATCACCTTGGTGGAGCTGGCGTAATGAACCGAGCGCAGGGCCTCCATCTTGTCTCCAGACAGAGGAGGCAGGAAGTCTATGAAGACACTGGCTTTGGCTGAAGATGTAACCAAAGCATAGTCCACCGTCAGGTTGACCAGGGAGTCTGGATTACGCCAGTCCTGGAAGGTTACGGTGACATATCTGCCGCCTGTTTGGTCTACCTGTTTGACTTTGGAGTTGAGAAGAATCGTAGCATTCAACACCTGGTAGAAAGCCCTCGGGAGGTGGTCGAATCCATCTGTCACCTCAAAATACCTGGAAAAAAACCCAATACAAACCTTTCAACCAAAATACATCAGTCATTTTACAACATCAAAGACTTAGAGCTGAATAAATGTCTGCCAAGTGTTGGCCAAATGGGATCGATGGAGCCTAACGCCCATGCATCTGTTGTATTTTCTAGTGTACTGGTTTGTTGTTTGTTTAAATATTTTCATAACCACTCCTACAATTACAGCCAATCACCATATGCGTTACTGAAAGAAAATGTGGTTTGAGAAACGTACATTAAGGGGCCTGTGTTAATGGAATTTATTGCACTAAAAACCCTTGTGACAAATGTTTTTTTGTCCCTGCGCTCACAGCACTCTCAGATGAAAATAGTTCAACTTTTAGAACACTGCTGCACCCAGCAACAATGGCGGAGGAGAAACAGTAAGGCCTGTTTTGCACCCAGACTTTTTTTTTCTTCTACAGTACAATTTCCAGTCCAAGAGCTGCTGTTACTACCAGGACACAATTCCTTTCCATTATTTTAAAGAATCGTTTATACGTAAAGTAACCTAATAAGGAAGTGGAAGTACTGCAAGATAACTTTTGTATTAGCGTCAGTGTGAAGGGTTTCAAGTCCCAGTGAGGACCAAGTCTGGAATTGGTCTGGTAACTGGAGAGTTGCCAGGTCACCTCCTGAGCACTGCCCGATGTGCCCTTGAGCAAGGCACCGTACCCCCAACAGCTCGGGTGCTCTTTCATGTGCAGCCCCTCACTCTGACATCTCTCCTTTGGTGTATTTCTATAGGATTCTATTTGTGCATGCATGTATATTTCATCCTATGTGGGTGAAGCCTGCCTCAGCAACAGAGTGTAAAATGAATTTCCCCTCATGGGATGAATAAAGTACATCTTCTTCTTCTATATGAACCCATCTGTTACCTAATTACATCATTTATTATCATGTCTGTTTCAGCATCTTTCACCACTGCACTATTGTCTCATTGAGTCTTGAACATATTACTGTTTGTTTATTGATTAGTATTTGATGTTGTACTTCTTTACTTAGAGAGCACAGTCTACTGAAGTCAAATTCCTTAAATGTGTGAGAATACCTGGCCAATAAAACTGATTCTCATTCTCACTTGGTTTAGCATTACACATAACAAGGAGATGAAATGAACATTTCTTACTCAGTGTTGTCATTGATGTCTGACTGAATGTACAGCATCTCTATCAGCGACGTGTAGAAGAGGCTGTTTTCATTCAGGAGGTCCCCGACCATCCTCAGTGCACCACGGCTCAGGTTCCCCTCCTTCACCAGGTACTCCTGTAATCAGGTGATCGTTAACTCTATGGTAATTTTTCATATTCATATAACACTTAAGCAATGTTTAAAATAAATATATATTCACCTTCACTGTGTAGGAATCATATTTATTCAACATGGCACTGCAGCCCATTGACTTCAGGTCGTCCCTCACCTGTCCAAAGATTATGATATTTCAGAAAATGTTCACATGTCTATCCTTATGCATTAAAAATACTGACGATTATAAAAGTTAGAATGACACTATTGATGTATAAAATGTGCTCATACCTTCCAGAGTGTCTTACTGAAGAGCTGAGCGGCTGACATCCCTCTCTCTCCTTCGTTCAGGCTGTAGTTGAGAATATCAGGGTTGTTTTCCACCGCATAGGTTTTCTGCAACACCCCGTTTACAAAATAGTAGGTGTTGATGTCATCTTGGATAAAGTGGTTCAAGGAAATTTGTAATTTGGAGGCAAAGGAGAGCAAAATCCTGTGAGGAAAAAAAAATGACACTGACTGAAGTTTCCTGGAGAGATTTAAAAATCTTCAAGACGAGACAATTAGAGATTAAGACCACTTAGTATGAGCTGCTACAGTTATCATCACCACTTTGGTGCAACACAACAAACTTGACTTTACACCAATAATCATCATTTTTATCAAATCTGGACAGAAACATTTCCCAGCAAACATCATCATAATGCTTTTTTTTCAAATATAACTCAGCGTTCACGCTCCACTTTGTCCTCCAGTCAGGTACTATACGGCTGAGTAATGTTCAGTCTCACGGCTAATGAGAGCCGTGAGACTGAACCAATACAGCAAAGTGAAACCATATCAATACTTTACGAGATACTTGAACTTCAGGTGGAGATAAAAGAACTGGGAAAGCAGAGTTAGATGACACTTTTTCTGTGGGGTTTTCCTTAAAGTGAGTAATGTCAAGATATGAGCAGAACTAAACATCAGAAAAAGAGTTTAAAGGGGACATATTATGAAGAATCCACTTCTACAGTGTTTTTGAACATATATTTGGGTAACCTGAGTGTCTACTGACCCACAAAATGTGAAATAAATCCATCCTGTCCTTTGTTTGTGGTCTGCATAAGTCTTACAACACAGAGAAAAATACTCTGTTTCAAATTTGCTCTCCTTGTGATGTCACAGTGGGATAATGGTAAAAAAAAAAAAAAAAATTCCCTCCCTTCCCCTGATATCTCCACCCATGGACTCCACCCCCAGACAAGAGCAAAACTTTACACAGGTCGGCCATTTTTATTCTTGCTAGCGAAGGAGGGATGTCAACGGGGGAAAGCTCGGGGGGGGGGGGCTCATTGCATTTAAAGAGACACACACACCAAAACGGAGCGTTCTGAGAGAGCTGGTTTATACAGGGTCACAAACCTCCTCTGGTGCTTGATTCATGTTATATTTTGACCAAAGCACAGCATAGATGTTTCATTTAGACCACAGGAGACTGTTTGAAAAGGTGGAGAAGGGGTATAATATGTCCTCTTTCAAAGATTTTCTTATGCTGTCCGTGCTTTATTATTGAAAAGAAGACGGATAAAAGAGACCAGCTGGTCATTATCGTACTCACTTATGAAAGCTGGGGATCCTCATGGCGCCCACTTCTGCGTACCAGCCTTCTCTTCTGTTCCTGAAGGTCTCCACACGTCCTCCAATACGGTCACTGGCTTCTATTATTGTCACCTTTTCCAGGTGGGGAAACATAATCATCATTTAATATCCACACCACCAAGTTTTTTCATTATCCACTGAGGGAAAAAAAATGTGTGTAAACATTAACATTTCAAGCATTGTTGGAGTCTACCGTATGTCCTGCATCTTCTAAAAACTTTGCAGCGGTCAGTCCAGCCATGCCCCCTCCAATGATGGCTATGTGACGAGGGCTCTTGGAGACAGGAAGACCTTTTTCCACGATGTTGAGCAGCTCCCTGTAGTCGGTGTCTTGTAGACAATCGTACAGGGGGTCTCCAAAGATCCCACTCACAGCAAAAATCACGACCCCGACTACAACTAGAGGAACTGACAGAGGACAAAAATATCAGTATTAGCTAATAAACAAATTATTGCATCATGATGAAATGCAGAAGTGGGGGGATATTCTCAAAATTTCTTGAGAATTTCTTGAGAATTTTTTCTATTTCGTCAAAGCAACAAATCCATTAAAAACACATTAGAAGTGTTATGTCAGCAAAAAGGAACCCACATCTTCATATGCACCATTGAAATGAGTAAATAAAACTAGTCATGGGAATGACTAGAAGGGAAGGATGGGAAGGATTATCCAGTTAAAAATGAATATATTTACAGCACAAGTAATAGCCTTGTAACCACTACATTCATTTGTTTCTTGTTAGAAGTGAATCTGATCCTTACACAACTTGCACAGAGCCATGTGAGGGATCATCTTAAGGATGGAGCTCCACAGTTTGGACGTCTTCCTTCTGCTGTTAGAGTCACTCTGAGAGGCAAAAGAAACCTACCAAACACAAAAAAGTTAAGAGTGAGAGACAGCATGAACATGGACAAGCCCTGTTGTTTTAAACTAAGAATTATGTTCCATTAAAATCCATTAAATCAGATCAAAATCAACAAATTTCCCATAAATAGAGAAAAAAAAAAATACAAGAGATTTGGTACGACTGAGAATTTTTTCTTTTGAATGTGCAGAAAGGGATTTTTTTCAAATGTGATATAAGATTCCAGATTAAGATGAACTTTAATGTCTCACAAAGTGAGAAATTTGTCTTGGGCTCTTCACTCGTGCTGCAGCCAAACAAAAGACAACAATTGACTTAATTAATTATTATTATTATTATTATTATTATTATTATTATTATTATTATTATTATTATTATTAATAATAATTTGTATCAAACACAGGACGAAAAACATTGTTTAGTAAAAATTAAGTATATAACATCAGGTTCTTAAAATATCAGTGCAAACATGCAAAGGAAAAATGAATTTTTAAACCTTTTCAGTCTACAACAGGTTTAAAAAATAATTTATCCCTGTTTCTATAAAACTTTTAAACAGTGGAAAAAAAACAGTTGATTTCAAACTTGTATTTATATATGAAATATGTTCCATTGTAATACATTGAATGAGATCAAAATATAGGCATTTTTCATTAAATCTCATAAAAAAGACATCAGATCTGTTGTTTTTTGTAGACGCAGACGTCTGCTCTCTAAAATGAGATCCTGTTGTTTTCAACATGTACTCTATATAAGAATCATGTTCCATTAAAATACATTAGAACAGATCATAATCAAGCTTGTTTCCTTAAATCGTAGAGAAAAATACATTTGATTTGTTGCAAGTGATTCATTGATTGCAGATGCAAAAGTATGCTCTTTAAAATGAGATACAGTACAAAGCATTTTTTTAAAGTTTGGATTTTTAAAAATGAATTATGTTCCATTCATTAAAAGCAATAAATCAAATAAATATAAAATAGTTTTTCCTTAAATCTCAGAAAAAAGACATTAGCCTTGGTGATAGTATCCCCTTTAAAATAAATATACACCTGTTGTTATAAACTTGTACTTTGTATTAGAACTATGCTCCATTACATTATTTCAGATCAAAACTGAGCTGGTTTTCTGAAATTGCAGAAAAGAAATACCTCAGATTTGGTACATATGCTGAAAAAAAAGAACTAAAGTTCAAATGACACTCTCCCTGCACTCCACTCACCTTTAACAAAGGTAATGTCTCGTCGCTCGTTGTGTGCCTATGCATGACTGAGAGGAAATGAGCGAGCCCCACATAGAGCTAAACTTTCATTTCTGTCCCTCCACATATATGAGGGCAGTCTGGAAAACCTGGAAGCGTGGGATGTGTGAAATTGCACACAACGTTATTTTAATGAGGGGGACTGTGTGGCTCCTCAGGTCTTCCAGAAATATTTTCCCACACCGGCTCGAGAGTCAACCAGACTGAACAAATCAGATTAGTGAGGTTATACTAGTCATCAGCATAGCTCATTTCCTCCATCTTCACTCATTTCAATATCTGACCTGAAAGTGCTCATTTACTGCTATCCAAAAATGTCAGATCTGAAGTGTCATTATTGTTCATAAAACATGTAAAACAGTGAATTAAAGAGCTCATTCCTTCTGTTACAATTATCTTTCATTATATATTTATTTAAATAATTTACTTACCTTTACATATAGTTTTTTCTTTAGAGCCAAAAAAGCTTCCCCAACTCACACAGCCTTCCTGTGCACAACAGACAGCATGACAAAGACACTACTTTTTATAAGCTGCAATAAATGAAACCAAAAGCAAGAAGACAAATAAAGTTTCATTTTCCTGAAACGTCAGTGGCACATGTGTAGTTTTTGTTTTCAAACTTAAATGCTGATCAATGCTTTTTGGAAACTGGAAGTTACCAAAGTAACCCATGAAAGAAAATAGGATAAGTTACATATTTTAATTACACTGAGGAATAAGGAACAAGGTGTAACTTACTAATTTTTCTCAGGACAAACACACAGCAGATGATGTCTTTCTTCCATGTTTCCTCGTTGATTTCTGTCTCGTGTAAAAAGCCTGACTGAGCTCAAAGCAGAAGCTCACCTGACTGTCTTGTTACAGCTCAGGTGAGTTTTTACATCACAGGTTACAAAGTACTTAGCAATACATATACGTGTGTGTGTGTGTGTGTGTGTGTGTGTGTGTGTGTGTGTGATTCATAGCTGAATTAGCATTGTTAAAGGTCAAGGGGCAGGTTTTATTTCACATTATGTGTGAAAACACTGAGGTCAGTGAACTAATGAGGCTTTAGAAGTGAAGTCAGCCGTGTTAATGCATAATGTGAAAGGTAAAGCTCTCATAACACCCTGAGAAAGCTGGCAGGGGTCTTGGCTATGAAGTCGTTTAGCTGTAGGTCTGATCAGGGAAGGAATGATCGGAGAGAAATAAAAAGAAAAGAAACAGAAAAAGAAAAAAATAGAAAGGAAACAGAAAGGAAACAAATGGCACGTTGATGGCAAAGAAGCCAAAGTTAAAGAGACAGACATTTTTCTCTGGAGTTTCTGCAGCAAACTTGATAGAATGAGGTGAACAATTTGATTCTTGTTCATCTGAGGGAACGCAACCCACATTTATACGTATAAATGCTGAAGGTGCTGGTTCTACCAGAGTTGTTCAAGCTCTCTTGTGGAGTTTTTTAGCTGGTAAGGACTTTATGACCTAAAATCAAACAAGGCCATCAGATAGACTGAATATACCTGCCATGCAGCCGTGGGGTAGGTTTCAGATAAGATGCTGCAGAAACAGCCTTTTTATAGTTTTTACATGCCAAAATTCATTTGAAATATCATTTGAAATTTCTTTGTCCATTTTTACATTTAAGATGAAGACAGATTAGACTTTTTTTCATACACAAGCACTTACACATGTACAGAACAAAATCAGCAAAGAGATGAATGGACCCAATTTGTCCACAGGTGGTGCTAAGATTGAAAAAACCCAAAAGTTCCTTGCAGGAACTTAAATAAAACATGTTTTTTTCATGTTTATCACCCATAGACTATACATATTAATGGATGAAGCCTAAGTGACATCACCTATCTGTTACTGAAGGGGGCTTTGGAGTCCCATTGATGGAGGCCGCCATGCTTGAAATGCTCTCTGTATAAAGTAAACTATACACCAATTAAGATCCATACTAAACTATATGACATTGAGACATATTAAGGTCTAAATGCCATAAATAGACTTTAATATGTCTCATATGTTATAAGGTAGTAGGCCTACATATTTCTATAATAAGATAAACATCTCACAGGGTAAAATACACACACTATGTATGACATCTTTTTTTTATACATCTAACAAACTGAAGAATAAAGACAGAAGCGGACTCCGAAATACAAAAGACATCAAGACGCTGATAAACGTCACCATTTCAGGTCGATAAAACAACATATCCCATAAGTCTTAGCTGCAGAAAAAGCCTCACGGGAGCTGCAGCTGTTTCACCCAACAAACCAATGTGTTTACTGTTATTTTCCTTTAAAATTGACGTATTGATGTAATTATTGGTTTTATTTTTGCCTTTTCATGTGGTCCTAAAACCTGTTTGGCGCAGGAGCCTTCATTTGAACTGACGTCATCATACCGGAAGTAAACAAACCGTACCAAACAGACGCTCACATGACCGGTCGTGCAGGTTGATATATTTATTCTTCTTTATTTCATTAAATAGCCCGGGAAATTAATCTTCAATGATACGCCACAATACAAACTGTGTTTTTGCTCTAAGTGTTCGTCATTGTTTCAAACAGCTAGCTGGCTAATGCTACATCAGCCTTTTAGACCTAGCCTGATGCTAATGTTAGATTCATGCAATTTAAACTTTACATGCTTATTGACGGAAAGTGACACATAATGTGGCCTTACTAAACACCTCAAACAAATAACTGTAATCTTATCCCCAGTTCGGCTCTACTGTTGTTCTTAAAAAAACCATTATGTAGTAAATATTGAGACTTTAACATTACTGATTAACCTCGGAGGGTGGAGTAGAGTCTATTCATCATTTAATACAAACTATGTTTAAATATATTATTCAAGGTAAGCCGAATTTACTGTTATTACATGCATTGCTTTCAATAATTTCATAAAACCACATGTTCGTAGACATGTCAATAGTCTAATTTATAACCTGAAAAGGTAACTATTTATATGCTGAATGTCTTTCAGTAATTCACTGAAGCATATTAATGTTCGTATACTATGCAATGCAAGTATATTAAAATGCACATTAAATCATTATATTTTGATTGTACATCATTTTGATAAATAGCCTCTAAAAATGTGTTTTCTGCCGACGTATCGTGCAATCAAAGGTCAGCTGCTAGAATCAATCTGGTTTAGCTTTGACTTAAAATCAAATAAATGATGAATGTGATGAATGAGGTCAGTGACTGTAAAATTAAACAGCCTTTAAAAATAGAATAAAAAATAAACTCCAAATCTTTTTTTCTGTGGATAATTGTAGCAACAGGATGCATACATAGTGAGTCTCTACCACCACTACTACTTCTACTTGTGCAACTGATAAATAATACTCCCTTAATTGATATTGATCACATACAATTGAGCTTCTCAGGCATTCGTTTAATGTTGACTTTAATATCACTGTGAACTTTTGCACTTTTTTTCTTCTTCACTGCTCCTTTATTTAAAACAGTTACATTGTTCAGATTATTTTTCTGTAATTTTTCATATTGTGTCATCTAAAATGTTCTATTCATGGTTATTGTTTCAAGGTACTTTCTTGCATAGTTTTTCAAATCCCTTCATACTATGTTTATTGTAATGTACCGGTGTATAAAATAAGATGAATTGTAAGATTGACAGTAAACCTTTATCTCCCCTGTTTTTTTGTTTTTATATAGATGTGATGCTTCCCCTGCACACATGATTTCTACATCTCCCCCTGAGGGCGTCCGGCCACAGAGTAACCTCCCTGCTGCCATGGCTGAGGTGTTGGGACAGAGGAGCATGTTGGGCCTTGGTGTGATGCTGGCATGGTTGGTGCTGTTCCACCTGCTGGTCAACATTTGGCTGCTGTGTGTATTCACCAGCCTGCTGGTGGTGCTCGGTGGCTGGCTCGGCTCACAGGCGGTCCTGGAGTCTGACAGTGTGGTTCACCTGGAGAGGTTCATCTCTCTGGAGGAGGTAAATTTACAGCTAACTGTTTCAGCACAAAGGCTCATTTATGCTTCCTTTACGTATGTAAATAGATAATTAAGTTTTACACGATATAACCGTCACTACCTGTATACTCCCACACATCCTTTAAATTGGGATAAACGTAAAGAAATGTATGCACTAGAGGGCGCAGTCTCGCATGGATCACTTCTCCTTTGCTGCCATCCAAAAGACAACCAGCTCTGGTCTGAATTTCCACCTAAGTTTATGTTGTAGTTGTCTGTCCCAGTGCCCGGGCGACATATATGACATCATATATATGATTACGTTTCCTAACCAACTGGCACAACTTTTCCTCAAAAAGTTCTGTGTTCTTCGTTGTGTTTTGCTGGTCTGGATTCAATTGTTGACTACTCTGCTCGACACTGCCCCTATGATTTCCGGTGGTATTGCAATGATTGGTCCGTATCTGTAAGCTTCCAGAAAACGTGCAGAAATACAGACGAAAATGATTGCAGAGTACAGACTTAAGGCTCCATATGTGTGTCTCTGATGTACAGCATAAATAGGCCTTAAGTTTCAGTTTCCACGTTAGCCATGGTTATAAAGAAAATATTTGCCATGTTTCTCCATTATCATTATATTTTACACTTCTCTTGTCGTTGCTGATTTTCAGATTGCACCCTCTGTGGAAGATGAGGATCACTTGGACCAGGAGATCCACAACACAGTGAGGAAAATCATCAGGGACTTTGTCAGCTCCTGGTACTCCACAGTGTCCTCCGAGAGCAGGTTTGAAACAGAAGTTCATGACGCCATGATCTCTATGGCCATGGAGCTGAAAGTACGTGCAAGACAGGTGGACAGGAAGGTAGGTAAACATGAAAGACTTGAGTGTTTGCAGGGTTTGTTGCTGTAATAGTGCTTGTTGCATGCCTGTACTTTGAAAAGGAAAAGATATTGAAGCAGGCAAATCAAGCTAGAAGCTAATATTGTTGTTTGTAATGGATAATGCCAGGGAAGAATTATCATCAGTACATACCTGATATACAGTCTATTGCATTACATTAATGGTGATATCAAAAGGTCACGTAATTGAATAATGACGGCATAAAAACTGGTATTTTTTAATTTTCTTTTAGCATTTTTCACAAATACACTTTGCAAAGATAAAAAAACAAGATACTATTATCAGGTTTACAGAAACCAGACAATGACATTACCAACAAATAACAAGAAAAAAAAGAAATAGAAGACATTTCAAATCAAATCTTGAAAAAATTAAGAAGGCATTTTAAAGCCACAAGACTCAGCCAGTTTGGTGTCCTTTAGTTTTCAGCAATACCTCTGCCCAATTATGTTCTCCTGCATACAATACTAAGAGGTCCAAGATTTGAAATCCTCCTGATCTGGTTGTTCACTTTTTAAGGATATTTGTTTTTACTCTCTGCAGGAGCTGACCCAGAGGATCCTGGATCTATTCGGCTGTCACCTGCAGGACTACATCCGAGCCAAGGAGCTGGTGACGGAGCAGCAAAAGCCCCTCACCTCAAAGTGGAGCAATGAGACCGAGTTGTGGAAAGCTTATTCTAGGATAACCACGCCTCACCTGGCCATGACCAGCGACACAGTGGAAGTAAACTATGCCCGAGCGGTTGTAGATTTGTTGCTGCATGTTTTGGTGCCCCCACCTCATTTGGAGACCCGCACTGGGCGCTTTGTCGTCGCAGAGCTCATCACTTGCAACGTTGTGCTGCCTCTTATCGGCAAACTGTCCGACCCTGACTGGTTAAACAGTCTTATTATTGAGATATTCAGCTGGTCCAGCAAACCACAAGAGCCGATAAAAACAGAGCCTGTGACGCCTTCGCCACCGAAACTACCATCTCCCTCTGCCGAATCAGAGCTCGCTCCACTGCAAGAAACGCCTCCAAAGAATAATGAACTAACTCCAATCAGAGCCTTAACTGAAACGTTTAATCACACGGAGACGTCCTCGACTGACCTCGCCGCTTACGATGTGATCGACTTCGAGGAGGCGGAGTGCACGCAGAGTATTGCAGAAGAAGAAGAACCTTCTCAACCCTTTTTTAAGCATTACATAAGAGGAAGCAAATCCAACCCATTCTACCAGGAAAATGACTCTGATCTGGATTCTCCTTTGGCCGACTTTAAACAAACCTCCATTGACTCCCTGGTTATGATCGGCCCAGAGGAGGGTCTGTATCACAGGCTAAAAGATTCAGTTTCTTCTGCTGAGAACAGTGTGGATCAGGAGGATGTCTGCCCTAGTCCTGTGGATCTCCCCTGCCCTAAAGTCCTGGTGAATTCCAGCCAGTGGAACATCCGAACAGCTGTAGCCCCTCACCAGTTAGAACAAGAGATGGGACTGTGAGTATCTGCAGCATCCAGGATCTGGAGAAGGAGGCTCCTTCAGTCAGCCCAGCCAGAGATCTCCTCCTGGGTGTAGAGCAGAGCGGACCTGGGAGCTCCACTGAGCTGACAGATGCGAGTCCCCTGCAGGCCTCGTCCCCAATGCCGCCGTTTAGTTTCGAGCCCCTCAGCAGCCCCGATGGTCCGGTCATCATCCAGAACCTCCGGATCACTGGCACCATCACAGCTAAGGAACACCGCGGCACTGGCTCACATCCCTACACCCTTTACACAATCAAAGTAAGGAAGCATTATAACCTGTATCTGTTCCTTCTTTCTATGCCCATGTATTTGTTTCTTTACGTGATGCAGTTAGCGCCTAAGCCAGGTATAATCAGAATTATTACTTTATAAGCCACTTGGTTTAGTGGTCACTTCTCTGTCCATCTAAATTAGTTTTTTCATCTCTTTTCAAGACATTCAACAATAAATTTGTATTTGTGCTTTTTCTATCTTGAAATAAGAATTTGTATCTGGAGGTGTTAGTAAATGTGGCTTAAATATATATATATCGATCTTTTTGACTAGAAATCAGACAAATTCACCTGCTTAAATTAGATTGTTTTTTTTGTAGCATCTTTTAAAGTAGCAAAGGAAGACTAAGAAACAGTGCAATGTGTCACACCCTGACAACCATGCCTGTCGGAGGCAAAACAACATCAGCACTATATGCAGCCAAGAGCTTAAACCACGTTCAAAGACCTGTAGCTAACTAAAAACTGTAGTTCAAACTTTAGTTTCAAAAGACTTGAAATAGAGGAGAAAATTTTAACATGTGGTATTGAAAAGTTTCAAAACATTTTAAAAACCTTATAAAAACACAAATGTTAGAATCAGACCCACAAATCAAACGTCACATAGTGATTTGTTACATACAATAGAACTTACTGCAGGAATCTTATGCTTTGTTGTGTTGTTTCAGTATGAGACATCCATGGGCTATGAGCAGCCAGGAGGCATCCAGCCCGGCTCTGAGGACGCTGAAGTTGAACCAGCATGCGAAAACTCTGCCTCCATTCAGCCGGTGGCCTATCACATGGTGAACAGACGTTACAGCGAGTTCCTAAACCTGCAAACACGACTGGAAGAAAAAAATGACCTGCGGAAACTCATCAAAGGTTTGAAGAATCGATCAGTTTACTTATTATTTATGTATACGTCGACATTTCAAATTTAAAGAGGCAAGACGGATGCACTGATGTGCCCAGTGGCATAGTGTGCTTAAGTCTGGCATGGAAAATGTCCATGCACGGTCTTCAATCAGACCTGGATTTGCAGTTGAGTTCTTGGCCGTTGATTAAAAGATCCAGTTTGATTGTTGTTGGGTACTCGAGCCAACACACAGGATTTATTGTAATCTGATTTACTCTGTGCTTCAGGTGTAAAAGGTCCAAAGAAAATATTTCCAGACATGCCGTTTGGTAACATGGACAGCGACAGGATAGAGGCCCGGAAAGGACTTCTAGAGACCTTTATTAAGGTAAAGGGAACAGTATTTTATTACTTTTATTTTTTGTGGCCCTTTTTTTGAATCTCTTAATTTAAGTAAATAAACATTCTGCCTTGTTTTTCAGCAACTATGTACCATCTCTGAAATCGCCAACAGTGAGGAGATGCAGGAGTTTCTGGCTCTCAATACAGACGCCAGGATCGCCTTTGTCAAGAAACCATTTATTGTGTCTCGCATAGACAAGGTTTGAAACTGATTACCTACTAGAAGCTTTTTTGAGGGAATTATTAGACTTGAATGCACATTATCATAAACTACATACAACAACATGTTTATGGTTGTACGTTACATTTTGTGAGATTCTTTTGCCTACATCTCTTGTGTGATGCAATACATGTGTGTTTATGTGTTTAGATTGTGGTGAACGCCATCGTGGATACCTTGAAGACAGCATTCCCTCGTTCAGAGCCTCAGAGCCCCACAGAGGACAACGAGGGAGAGGTGGATGGATTGAAAATCGGTGGTGACAAGAAGAGCAAGTAAGAGTTCAGAGATCCAGGCTACTTTTACCGCTTATATGTCGGAAGCACATCAGCATTATTGCGATGTTTTATACTCTTTTATATGTTCGTTGTTTTGTCTGAATTTTTTGTTTTTTAATTTGTTTTGATTTCGATTTTGCGATGATGTTGTTGTCCTTGTGTTTCTTGTCTTCCGTGTGCTCCCTGCTGCAAAACACATTTCCCCTTCTGGGAAAATAAACAATCTGAATCTGAATCTGAATCCCATACAGAGAATCAACAGACATTCCCGGGGCAGACTTCCATAAAAGCAGGGTTGTCCTTGCTTCACCTCAAGACTCAGTTCAGCTAAGTGAGCTAGAGTTAATCCTCAGGAGCCGTTTGCCAGTCTGGTTATGTGCTTTTAAAAACAGTATTGGCATTCAAACAAACCTCAAGGAACACTTAGTTGCTGTTCAAGACTTTTCGGATAATATCCCACAAACTTCCTTGGCAGAGTTTGCCCTGTTGTCTTGGAAACGTAGATGTTCCAAGTTTCCATTTTTACTGAACAATTGAAAGACTTCCTCTCAACGTTGGTGTAGCAGTGTAGTTTTAGAATAAAAAGGCAGCACTGTCTTTCTAGTGGAGCAGGTTGTGTTTCTGAGGGGCAGAAAAATACTGTTTTCATGCGGTTAGAGGGTTAGCCTCACATCCTGTATTACACAAAGCATTGTGCACATTCTCCTTTACTCGCGTTGGGTTATTTTAATCAGCACAGCCTGACTTCAAGTGAAAACTTAGTAGGAGGACTGGCAGGAAAAATACCAGGTAAAGATGGAGTAGAGAACTTGGCTGTTTGCGTTCACACATGCAGCTCACCCTGAAAACATTTCAGGAAGGTTTCAGGAGTTTTGTGCATGTTTGAAAGGTCTAATAAAGTTATATTGTTTAACTGTAGTCCTTGTGTTTATTGACTTGTTTGTTTGATTGCAGATCTCGTATGAAGTTCTCCAGTAAAAACATCCCCTTTATGAACGGCTCAGACATCAGACCATCGGTTTTGTTCAGTTGGGAGAAAACAAGCAAAGTAAATATCTTACATTACTGTGAACATTAATATTTTCTGCCTCTGTGATCCAATGAGTTTTTCTCGGTTTTACCACCTTCTCCTCTCTTCTCCTTTAGGTGTTCAGTGGAATGTCTTTAGGAGATTTGCAAGCCTTCATCTCAGAACAAGAAAAATTAGACACCAGAGACCTTCTAGAGAGGGAGGAAAGTCCAGGAATAGATGAATTTGGGGGCCGCTTGGACGTTTGCTTTAGAGGAAAAAGCAGTCGGGAGTCTGGTAAGTACAGGAAGATGGAGACACAGTTTGTTTCTCTTTCTCTTCTTTACCTCAGGTTCAGACAGGTTATCTCAATGCTGCATGTCCTGCTGAAGTTAAGTTTACGACAGAAGGCAAATGGAAAAGATTTGATGATTAGTTTATGATTAAGATTTTAAGTCAAATAAAAAGGTACACCCCTCTTATCGCCGACAGTGATACCAAACTGTAACATCAAGTGTTACTGTTTGTGGTCTGCTAAAGTATAAAACAGTATGAAGGAGAAGAAGTAGATTTAGTTTTAGAGTACAGTTGTCCTCCTGTGTAGGAAAGCCAGGGCATTATGATTAAACATCTTTTAAACGCTTCATTGTATATCCAAGGGATAATGAATACACTCATGTTTGACGTCCTTCAGACACTTTCACTTTCTTAGCAAGAGAAAACAGTGGGGGGTGGGGGAGGGGAGCAGTAGAGACCGTCCTGTAGGCGGCTTGATTGGGCCAACCATCTGTCATTGTAAAGGAAACAACCAATGATAAGAAACAGAGAGAAGAAGGAATTACAGACAAAAAAAGAAATAGGTCACCTCATTGACATCAGACATCCTGCAATGTGACTATTTCACATAAAAGGATTTATCCTTCAGCCATATTTGTCCACAGTCGTGGATCTGTTATAAACATTACGCTGTGACTTCCAAGGTGTACTTCTTCACCATGTCTTTAAGGCAGGGTAAATAACTGGCTGTGAGGGAGATGTGAAATGGTGTCTCAGGAAGATGTCAGGAGCCGACTGCATTGAAACTTTCTTGAAATTTTCAGATGTACAATAAAAAACCTCCGTACATTTTTTTTCAGGATAGTGAAGTGAACTGTGGGGATTAAATTTTTGTTTTGCACCAGGCTGTAAACGTGATTAATTTAACCAAACATGTTGCCATAAAATTTTTTAAAAGATTTTTGTGTCATCAAATATTTTAATTCAGCCACTTCCTTCTCAAGGTCGCCTCTTCCTCCTTCGAGCCTCTCATCTTTAAATCTGCACTCATCATGTCTATCATGTCTGCGTGTCTGACTCACTCCTGCATGTCTGCTTTCGTTTTCCTTTGTTTCTGAACAGCTCACTGACTCACTGGTTGTTTTGTCTTCCTTTTTGCCTTTCTGCTTAACACTTCCACTTTCCACTCAGTATCTCTCACTGATCACAAAAGGACAATCTGATGGAAACCATCTTGTTCCATATTCCAGTCATTCATCAGATTCATCAGAACACATTCATATTTTGTTATGAAGCTGCAGCTGAAGGGACCAAAACACACAAACATGACCTGTTGTGACAGATTTTTTTTTTTCTGTCAAGGATCCAAAAGCTTTCATCAGTGGCTGTTCACTGCAAGGGCTTATACTTTTTGGGTCAAAGTAAACCATTCTATTTATTTAAAAGTCAAAGTAAGCCTTTATGCTGTACAAAAAGGCTTTGAGAAATAGGCAACTCTGATGGAAACTTAAAGTGAAAGTCTTACATTCATACAAAAAGGAATGGAACTAATGAGTCATTTAAACAGTCATCTCTGAGCCCCATCAGCTGTCATAAAAAACCCCCACTGTAGTTTCTGTTTAAAGTTCTACCTGCAACTTGAAAGGCAAGACTGGAGTTGGATATGGGGAATCACATCTAAGAGGGGATCTTTGGCTACTCTTGCATACAGATGTCTGTTTAGTGACATGAATTTAGGCTCAGTCTCCGCTAGATGACCGCTGATGGGTTCTGGGATTGCATTCCTCTCCTTTTTCTATTGCAGACTGAAATACAAGTGGATGGTACTATGCTGACTGCAAACTAAACCAAAATACCTTCAGTATTAAATTCCAGCCCTGCAATTTTATGCAGAACTGTAAAAGATGATTTACACAGCAAAGCATATGGCCCAGGATCAAGCAGAATGACCTTTTAATTGAATGCTGCTATTGGTCATCTGTCATAGAGTTGAAAGAGAGAGAAGAAACAATAAGAGAGTGATGCTAGTGAGAGGGAGCAGAGCCAGAATTGTAAGTGAACCTTAACTACCCATGTACCTGTACGTGTATAAACAAAATCTCATGTGTTTGCTGACTCATTTGAGGGATTCCCCTGGAGCCACGATAGACTCTTCAGGACTTCTTTTGAAAAGATTCAGCACAAATTCCCGTTAATATTTGAACAGGGGGAATTCCTAAAAAATGCTCATTGTGTTTACAGGAACCAGGAGACAGGCTGTGTTTTCCGACCCCACCTAAAGGCAAAACAAAAAGAAGCCTCGACTATCTCTAAGAGTTGTCTGTCTTTTGGTTGTCTTTGTAGTCACACTAAGTGATTAGTCTTTTTATTTAATTCTGTTTATTGTCATTAGAAGAAAAAGCCAGCGTACACTCAGATTTAAGGAGGATTATTTCACTTTAAATAAACACTGAATGCTATTAAATATGCTAAAACAGAATCTCTCTGCAAACCCACAACAAGTTTTAAATATCCTGCAGAAAGCATTCAAAATATTTAATTTATGAAAGACTGCTTAAGCTAACAAATACAACATGACGATGTTGTAGAAAATAGTCTATTTTAAAGGGCCTGAACTAAAAACAAAACACACAAGCATTATCAAAGTTTGACCACATGAGGGCAGTGATAATATGTATATGAAGTGGTGAACTGATGTGAGGACTGCAGGGTTCTACTGTGACAGACTAAAATGTGAGGTTACAAATACATATGCATCTACAAAACCACCGGAAACCTGTGTATAACAAAATCTGCTTTAGCATGCAAAGCTAGCTCATAATAGGGTATATTTTGAATGTGGTATCTAATCCATTGCCTATTACAGAGTAATTAGTATCCTGTATTTTGTCATTACTTAGTCATTACATATACTTTGAGGTGTTTTTAAATGTGTTTCTTGCATGTTTTGTGCACAGCATCAGAGACGGCGCTGGCTGAGGTGGCTCTGAACATCCTGTGTCTGCTGATGAGGGAGCAGTGGAGCTGGCTGTGCAGTGAGAACATTCAAAGGACCATCAGGCTGCTGTTTGGGACCTTTATCAACAGGTGACTATTACACTAGACTAACAGAAATGGAATATCAACTCATTTGTGCCTGAATAATTCCAAATTAGAATTTTCCTGATTCTGTAGGGGTTGTGCAACAACTTCATGGTGTATTTTTCTTTCTCACACATGTATGTTGTTTTAATTTCAGAACATGCACATTTGTGTTTATGTATTATTAAATGGACTAAATGGTAAATGGACTTGAGACCACCGTAGGTCACACCTACCCATTCACACACTGATGGCAGACGCTGCTATGTAAAGTGATCATCAGAAGTAACTACTCCCCTTCATGCACATTCATACACATTCATACATTGCTTACTAAGGCTTCTATAATATATGCAAATCTAGATCTCTAGAAGTATATTTAAATATCTACTATATATATATATATATATATATATGCCTTCTATATCGTATCCATGATTCTCAAATGTCTTTGCTATTTATAGCTGTATCCCGATGGTATAACATTTGCTTTGTATTTAATATTGCCGGATGTTTCTCCAGATTTTCAGAGTTAATTTTCCTTGTAGTTTCTAATCAATCTGACACATTTAAGTGAAAACAAGTTACTCAGATTTGCAATGTTCACATGACTTAAACCTAGAACCCAACAGTAAGACACAATGACAACATTTGGCCCCCACCATGAGTATGACATCAGGACAATATGGTCGCCCTGGGAAAATGGTCAATTGCTGCAAGAAGTACGCCCAATTGTGGGATTGTCTGATTTGAAGAGTGAGGGATAGAAACTGTTTGTATGATATTTTTCAAGTTGAATTGTTGTTCTTATTAACAGTGACGTGTATTCAAAGAGAAAACTTAACTTTGTATGACTTGACATGTTGTATGAATTTGATTTATCCACGCCAATAGTGTTTTTGGTATTGAGAAGTGTTAATGCTTTACTCTACATTAACACTGTAGACATATTAACACACTGTTTTTTAGTGCACCCATTGATGTTTTTTTTTTTATGAAGAGCTTCTAAAGTTTAATTAATAGGCTTCAGATCATCTATGCTCAATCAGCAGTGAGCTTAATGACTTGGTTAGTTGTATTTAGGAGTTGTTGACAGAGTGAATAGAGACATGTGTTCCTTGTCATTTACCCCCCCCCCATCCTTTGTGCATCATGGATATTTTAAAACAACCTGAACAGGATGTACTGCTGATGCTGCCACAACAATGCAGATACACTTTGTCTCCCTTTAACAACTGTTGCCTCTGGATGACTTCTCAAAGTGCTTTTATGAGGTTCTCTGCAGCCGAGAGGAGGTGGAAACTTTTCATGGCTGTGTGTGTGCGTGTGCGTGTGCGTGTGCGTGCGTGTGCTCATGAAGACACATGGTTCCTTGTGGAGATTCCATGGAGGGAGCAGTTTATGGGCTGCAGAGGAGTCATGTAGTCGTTTATCAAGACAGTTGATATTTTAGACAAGGGTTGACTGTGTGCCTTTGCAGTGGTCCGTGTTTTACAAAGTCAGGAGCATCCTGTGCTGTGCAATGGACCTTTACATCAAATAGCAATAATGTTATTTAATACATTGGATGATTACTTAAATACGAATCATGATCAAGCCTGCATATGGCATTTTACAGCTCCTAACTCTTCTGTCATTTTCACACATATTCTCTTCATCTGCTTAGAGAAGTTTGTTCTTGCGTAAGGAATGGCATCAAGTCTTTACACTATTGCACTTGTTGTAAAAAGAATACGTGCATACATGCATGCCTGCAGTATTTGGCCCAAAAGCGAATGCTCGGCTGACATCAACTCCCCAAACATTTGTCGCAGATAGGTATAGCTCCGGCTGCCAGTAAACTCAACGTGCAGACAATGTTCTCAGGTTCTGGTGTTTGTACTGTCAGTGCTGTGACCTCACGTTCCCCAGGGTGTCGGGACCAGAATATCGTTTCTTCATATTTAAACTGGGGCTGTCTATATTAAGACGTTCCACTAGCCCAAGCTTGAAAGGTCTTGTGCTTTTGTTTGGCCTTGTCTATATTAGGCATCAGTCTGTCAACATGGCAGTGACGGCTTTAAGAGCGGCAGGTATCTCTTCTCATCGGCTTGTTTCTCTCTTCACAGCAGACAAGATGCTACAGAGGTAAAAGAAATGCACAGTTCTTTAACAGCAATGAAATATCAATCACATTGTTGCATAAATTGAAAATGTGAAAACAAAGCAGCAAAAGGTAACATACATTTTGCATTTATTATATAACCTCATTTAGTAGCCCTTTACTGAAAGGAAAAAGTAACTGAAGGATGTTCATGATGAGTTCAAATTGTTAGCGTGTGTCAGTGAGTTTTAAAGCGTCTGGGCGACAACCTTTGGCCTTCAGCCAGGATTCACTGATGGTTACCAGAAGTATGCTTGAGTATTTCGGGATGTGCTTCATCTGATTAAGAGATACAAAGGATAAAGATGTACCAATTTTAGTTTGCATTCCCAGCCAAGCCTGAAAGCTCCTCTAAACAATATGTGTAGTCATAATAGGGCAGACCACTTTGGTCCAAACTGAAATATCAATGCAATGTCATGTCATTTTCAACAGACAGACTACCAGAGGGTAACTCCTAATGACTCTATTGGTTCCCTTATCCTTTATCCACTGCCACCACAAGGTTGCTTTCCTACTAATGTCTACCTTCCATCTAGTTCACTACAGAGGGTATATGTCTTGACATATCAAGCCAGCAAAATGGTGTCAGCATATCATTTGAAGAGCATTGAAATACTTTGTTAACTCGAGGCTAACTCAATACCGAGCAGTTTCAGTCAACTGGTGCTTAAAGACTTCGATTTGAAGGTGGAATATTTTCATATTGATTAATTGATTCACAAAGTCATTTAAAAATCCAATCAAGGCCTTTATTTTTAAAAGAACCAGGCACATTTACTTTAAACTGACACCTATTTACTATTAGGCATGAGAAGCAGCAGGCAGTGCCAGTCTTCAGCTGTAGTGGACGCTTGTCTGTCTGAATTGAACTTGGAATTGCATGTTGTGACAAAAAGTGTGTGTTTGTGTGTGTGTGGGAGATGAAACCAGGAACAAACTGGCTAAATCTGGGTCTGTGTTTGGGTGTATGTGTGAGTGTGTGTGTGTGAGACAGGTCTGGCTGGAAAAGCCGGCCCTCTGTTCCTATAAATGGGGTCCAAGGCGAGGGTCTGGTTTGGGAGATGTCTGATTTTTATGGACTGGAAAGTGGGACAGTTTAAAATGAATACAGTCTCTTTCTCTTAGACAGCAGCCTGGATGAAAAATCCACCTGGAGCCAAACTGTTGTCAGTGTCTAGATGTAGTGAAGCTGTAGCAGATTTATGCCACACATCCCAAGCACTTGTGATTTTCCATGTTCTGATTGGTTGAATGCGTCTGTAAACATACTGATTCCAGTATTTACCAAATGAAAAGCTGAATAAACTCTTAGACTTTATATAAGAAGTTGTTGTGGCTGCAAAGACAAAACCTATTGGTTTTACTTGTACAGGAGGGTTGAGCCACAAAACAGGTAGGGGTAGTGGCAGGGGCGCCGGTTCAGGTGGTTAGTTCACGCACCCCATGTACTGTACAAGACGGCAGCAGTCATCAAAGCCAGCAGCCCGGGTTGGAATCCGATCTGTGGCTTCTTTCCCACACGTCATTCCCCACCCCAAGAGGCTATGTGCATTACTCATGCAGCCTCTTACTAGTTGATTTTCTTGATGCAAACTTTTATTTTGTCGATACAAATAATGATCACACTTACAGAGGGCTTAGGTCTTCATCAGATTTTCCAATGTTTGAAATCAACTATATTAATGCGTGAATGAGAGTGTTGTAGTTTGGCCCTAAAACAGAATAAGATAAAGCCTTTGAGACTCAAATAATGCACTGGACAGCATTGGCTGAAATTGAGTGGCTGAGAAACTAGGTCAGTGCTGTCGATGATTGTGATTCATCAAATTGCAACAAGTGGTTCTAATTGTCCCGGCAAGCTGTTTTGTCTTTTGCCTGAGGTCATTAAGTGTCAAAGTGGAACATTCCCACTAAAAGTCCAAAAGGACACATCACATCTGCTCATAGTGACATTTTTGCCACGCCACCTACTATGAGAAAGTACAGTTTTGTTTTGCTGGTGCACCTGTACTGCCATGCACAAAGTCTGCAGTCCTTTTCTGTTTTAAAAAAAAAATTTTTTTTTAAAAAGGACTGCTTGTTGGTGTCAAGGGTTTCCTTATTGGTCTCATAACACCAAACTTCATGTGGCACCTCTGCTCTGCCAGTCCTTTCCTGCACCTGTCCAACAATGACATGATTCTTTTATTTTTACTACCTAAAACGACATATTAATACTTTCATAAACAGTTCATATGATGCCACAAGCCCTTGCTGACAGCTTGATGATGGAGGTGAGGATGAAGGGCAGCACGGAGGATTTAGAGCTTGTCAACAGTTGTCACAGGGAACGCTCTCACTCTCTCAGTCTTTTTTCTTTCACTCTTTCTCTCCCTCTCCGTCCGTGCCGTCTCCTGCTACACTGTTAATTAACACCCAGGGATCTCTCATCTGACACACAGTGGGCTGCTTGGGTTTCATCCGTGGTGAGCAACAAGTTGTTTGGCTTCAGGGAAAGTGGTTTCTGTCTCACTGCTGTGCTATTTAGCTCGTGACCACATTGTGGGATTTGGAGAGAACTCTCAAGATGTGGTCAGAACTCCCAACTTTCACAAAATATATAGCACTAGCTTTTCTAAGTAGTATATTTTACTCAGCATGAATCCACTTGCAAACTGTATTTTTTTACTTCAAGAGTTGGAAGTTTGCCTTTGAATGCATGAAGTTTGCGCACAGTGACTTGAATCAGAACACTGGTGAACGCAGGTGACTTGAATCAGAACACTGGAACAAGCTGTGTCCAACAGTTTTGAAGGTTAATACGGTTATTGAAAGCATTCCTGATATGATGTTTTTGCAAAGCTGGACTTGAAATGAAGAC